TCTGCATGGAATACCGGTGAGCCTAACGGTCCTGGAGAAACGAACTGTGGGCACTTGTACGTCAGCGGAAGTGCAAAAGGAAAGTGGAATGACGATCACTGTTCGACTCCCCGAGTTATTGTCTGCCAGATGGAGAAAAAATGAGTCTGGCCCACAGCTGCTGTGAAGCTACTGAAATTGTAGACTAGTCTCAGATGTAGAATTATAGTGGGCGATCAATACTCAGTGAGCCAAACCGGACAAAGAAATAAAGGTGTTGGGAAATATTACTTGTTGTAGACAATCATTTGTTTGTATTTTTGGATAACATTACCTTCCACCAATGCCAATGATCATTTAACTTAAGAGCGGAATTTGGGATATATCTCAGGGAACCCATACGCTGTCCTATCAAGCCAAACTTACGGGGGGCACCCAACGACTTTTTTTCTGTAAAATTACTATTCGAAGGAGCAAATATTGCGCGAGAAATTTAAGCTGTAAAGCGGCAGGTGACAAAGTCTAAAAATTTCTGGATAACCTTTCGTTTATGATATTCGGAGTCTTTCTGCGAACTTACCCTGCCACTTCCCTCGGAGCTTGGTTGGTCAGGGTAAAAAAAAACGCTTAAGTCTAACATTCGTGAATCTGTTATAATTAATGTAGAACCGTAACCCTTTATCCCTGAAATTATTTTGTCAATTATCCCTTATACTCAACAAAATTAAGGTATGGGTCTTCTATTTAATTCCTCAAAAACGGAGGGTGTGGTTTAACTTTATAAACGTTCAATATAGCGCAAAATAACTTATGGACAGACTACCTGGGTGTAACTTCAATAACTTTGAATTATGGTTGCAGTCATTAATTGTCATGTGACTTATCAAGGCTATTTTTAGCTCAAAATTCTATTTGGCAAAATGGCAACACTTTTCATTACTTTCTGGAAGTTGCAGTGATCGTCATAGTGATGAGACTAACAGGTATATCATTTCTGTGGCCGGGCCTATAAGTTAATCTTTAGAAATGGACGAAATTCCGCGAAAACCGTTTGAAAAAGGGGACTGGGCACTAGTACAAAATTCCGTTTATTTATACTTTCAATAACTTATTCAACAAAGCCCGGCACAGATGTTCAGTCGAGCGCTAGGGATACAAAATAGAGTTACCAACTCTTACCCTCCAAAGATAGCAAGATGCAAACAATGCTGGCCTGCGAAAACATCCGTTTCTCTTCGCTCTTCGCCGCTGGGGACGTTTCCTCCGCGCGAAACGTCCCCAGCGGCGAAGAGCGAAGAGAAACGGATGTTTTCGCAGGCCACCAACAAGCAAGAAAAAAAATATGCAAAGAAAAGAACCTGTCCTATATACACAGCACATAAAGGATAAATAAACATAGTATTTGAGCGAGAATTTCTGCAACGCAGTACTTCGATGAAAGAGTTACCCCACCCCCGTATCCATTTTCCTTACTTAAGCACGTCGAGCACGTCCCTTTTTTGTTTACGGGGTATTAGTCACAAATAAATCCCGGGGACGAGATTCATCCCGTTCTATTGACCGTAAATCTCCTGGTAAGTTCCCTCTTAATAAGCCCCCTTCTCCGAGAATATGCTCCCCCCATTTCAGGGGGATAATTAAAATGTTTTGAAGCCCCCCCTCTCTTCTAAGCCCTCTCTCCCTTTCCCCCTTAATATTCACAACCAAATTCATAAATGATGGACTGTACACTTTTGGCTGTTCATGGGGACTGATTCGGTATCGATTATTCTTCGATCCCTAGCCTTTCATGTCCCTTAGTGGTACTTAATTATAAATTCGCGAGTTTAACGAGAGAGTATTGCGCGGGTGACCTCGTCCCCAGGGCGCTTTTCCCTGGCTCAGTTGGCCTCCTGGGGACGAGGTTGTTTCGCGGGGTTTAATTTTCGCGATTTTAACATGTAAATACGAAAAAAGGGCATTGAATTTCACGATTTAGGCGATCTCAACTTCATTTTCTTTTTTTAAAAGTCTGACCCTTTAAAAAAAAAAGAAGATAAACTGGAACAAGCAATGTGTGAAATCTTTGCACTGCTATCGTTATGTTACTTCACAACGGGAGACACAAAATGGAGCTTACCAGTAAAACCATTTAGCAATTTGTGTTTGTCAATACATAACGTCGCTATCACATGTTTGTTGTTATTTGAATTTTTTCTATGGGTATTTAATTTCGCGTTTTTTTACAATCGCTAAAAACCCGAAATATTAAGGCCCAATAAGGTATTTGAGTTTTTCCACTTTGCGCTCTGGTTCTTTATGGAAAATTGATGCCATTTTCTGGTTATTCGAAAAGGCAATACAGCACCCTTTTACGCTAAATTAAATATGCCCATCCCCTGAATCTTTTAAGCCCCCAACTGCCCCCACCCCCCAGCCTAGCAGAAAAGGTTTCCTAGGGCCGGGGGGGCTAATATGAGGATTTTCTCCTGCGCGCGCGTGGAGTTGTGGGATTTTTTTTACCAAACGAGTTTTGCAAAGAAACTGAACATCTATTGATGTTTTTCGCAGTTTATTGACGCTGGATTTTGACGAAAAGGTAAGTTAACAGCGGCTTTACGAAGAACATTTTGTTCATTCTATAAAAGAGTGCTAGCCAAAGAGGAAAGAATGACATTGTTTGCATTGATCTCAGGTTGAAATTTCATGATCCTCTGATTCGAAGTGATAATCACAAGAGAAAACAGTTTTACAAAAGGACAATGGAATAAAGGTAAGAAGGCTTTGTTTTCTATGATTTTGATTTCTTTCTTTTTCTCTTTGTCGGTCTTGTTTCTTTCCTTGATCCTTTGTCCCCTGTGAATTTCTTTTGATCATGGATCATGAGATTGATCGTGATTTTCAGGAGTGCCCATTTATTTGTAGCTTTCGATCAACCGAAATCGAATCATGTCCAGCGTGTAATCACGGGCTCACTTCACAGATGGTTGAAATTTATAACTCTTCTCGACTTTGACTCGATAATTGCAAAATTTTTCTATATCGCGAGATCAAACTGACTGAAAATTAACTGCTGACTATTCTTGGTTTGCAACCACGTGACAAGTCGGCCATGTTGGGGGTCAAAACAAAAGAATATTTCCTCGAAGAATTTACATGAAAATAGAGTTTAGTTCCCAGAGGAGAGAAATGCTTTTGTTCTTGACCACCAACATGGCCGCCGGGGCACAGCCGTCCAGAAATTGTGAGATTGCCTTGGAACGCTGAGCATTCAAATGCACATAGCAACCCTACTCTAGGCTATTGTAGGCTTTTTGTTGTATAACATTCAGCAAAAAAACATAAGCACATTATGTAGGCCGCGTTGGGTAAAATGCTAAAAAGTGCCAATGCCTTGAGACTTTAACGCAAGACAGAAGAAATGGTGACGATGGCAAGAAGATTGGTTGAAACTGTGACTTCAATTACCAGGCCCCAGTTGTTCAAAAGCTGGATAGCGCTATCCACCATGCCAGATAATTCACTGTGCAACAGATAAGTGTTAGGGAAACCAATATTGTGCTATCCAGGGGATTAAGTGATTTAGTAAAATCCAGCTAGTGGTCTATTATCGATGCTGCATTCTGATTGGCTGAGCTACTACTAGGCTATATGTTATAGCCCACTAGTAGCAAAAAGCGCCAGCTTTGAAAACCAAAACAATGGTTGTCTTCACACTTAAGGCTGTTAATTAAGACTTAAGAGTCGTTAAGTTTTACTTAACCAAAAATTCCTCTCAAGTAACTTTGCTTTGCATCTCATTAAAGTCGGAAAGTTGAAACGATTGAAGAAAGTTTCAAGCCACTTGAAAACCATCCTTATGACCGACTTAGCTGACTTGCGGTTTTGCAGTTTCTTGAGCTTTGAAAAACGCGAGACATGTCAATCAATCTTAATTTTGTTACTCAGAGCCCATTCAGACTCAAGGAATATGATATGAACGCCGAATTCAATAACTGTTTTATTATTCATTCAAAATAATTCCTAGTTTAAAAACATAGCTAAAACAAGCTTACCTGCATCGATGTTAAGTTTTTCTTTGATAGTTTACGTTTAGGTTTGTCCAGCTCCACAAATATTCTCCAAATAGCAGATGTCGCCCTCCGAGTCGGCTTCTTGCTATTTTTGCTATCCTTTTTGGCATTATTTTGCCTAGTTCCAGCTGTAGTTCTTACTCTTGAAACGAGTGAAGTGTCCGCCATTTTAGTTTTTACAACGAAAACAACTCAATCTCATCCACAGGTCTTCTCGGTTAACGGTGCATTAACCTGTAGAAGGCTGCATTTTTGATGTCATTTCCTTGTTAAACACAAAATTCTTCCAAATTTGGTCATCAGTAACTGGTTATGGTGAAATATGCGTGTGCTTTTAGCCAATCAGAACCGGGGAAAATATCTTAAATGAATAATAATGTTAATTGTCCGGTGGATAGTGCCATCCCCACTTTGAACAGCTGGGGCCAGGATTCTTCAGTAAATTGTTTTCATGTTCAAATCAAGGCTATTGTTTGAAAAACCTCAGTGGGATTTTTAAATTTAAGCAAATACTTTATACAAAAGCATTTCTGGTAGTTGTACTCAACTGACATCATTTTATAAAATGCTCCATTGTCAAACACTTCCCCCCTTGTCCTAAAGCATACTCCTGTCATTTCCCCTGTAATTCTTCCTGGGGATTGGGGAGTTTGATGGGATTTAAGGCATTCCCAGGGGTGAAGTTTTCACTAGTTTTCACAAGCAAAGAGAGTTTGATGTTGGTTGTGTTTAGTCAAGACCATGACTAAGGTGGCAGGGGCTGTGTATTGCGTATCGAGTTACGAGCAGTTTTAGAGTTTTTCTTGGTGGAAACTACATTCATAGTTGGAATAAATCTTCTTGTTGCTGTTTTGACAGCCCTGCATGCATTCAGTTTAGTTGCCAGCTAAGTCGTTTGGTTTGAACCTCCTCTCCTGCCCTTCATATCACTCTGGAAATTCCAGTTCAGCTACAGACTTTCCTTATAAAAATTGCAGCATTTGTGTTTTGCCATTTACTTTTATGGAGACTCTTTACTTCTTAGTCTTTAAAGCTGTTTGGGTGTGAAAAATTAATTAATTGATTTCATATTTCACTAATTTATCATTAAAATGCATTGACTCTTTCTTGTTTTATTTCTTCATGCTAGTTTGACCTGCCAGTGCCCTTTTGGAAAAAAGGGGCAAACACTCTGACTAGAATACACCCTGCAGGTAAAAAAAAAATCAAGCTGTCTTATTTAATGTTATATAGTATATATAACCAAACAACACCCTTACCTTAGGCCCCGGTTCCTCGATAGATGGTTAAGTTTAACCCAGGATTAAGCCAAATTTTAAGCACAGTTTTCTCGTCTTCCAAAAAATATAAAACTCAAGCTTACAAAATGCCATTGAAGTCTAAGGAATATATAGGAAAGTAAAAGAACAAAAATGGAACAAAACTTGAATCCTATAGTTTAGCGCTAATCGGCCTACCAGGAACTGGGCCCTGGGTGTTAAGATTCCCGAAGTTAGAAGAGCTTAAAAAACAGTTTTAAGTGACAAAATAGTGTTGCAAAATTATAGCTTCCATAATCCAGTTATTCATTGCAAGGAATCAGTAAAGTTGAGATGATTGTTCATACCAAATTTTATGATTTTAATAAATCTATAATATAATATGAGCATAAAAGTACTTAAGCCTGGGAAATTTATGGATGGTTGGCAGAGGCTTTATCCGAGGCAGATCCAGAAATTTCAGAAAAGAGTGGCTAGGACACTTGCCAGCTATATAGATCAAACTATTTAAATTTTGCCAAAAAATTCTTTTAAAATAATGCAAAATTACACAGAAAAAGAGGTGGCCATGATACGGTCCTCTTGGCCCACTTCGAGTCACCTCAATAATATTATGTATCTCCAAATTGCAACAATAAAATGCTACCAGACACTGTGTCAAAGCTGCTTTAAGGTTAAGTAAAACAGAAAACTACAAGTGAGCATGATCATTCGTGAGTTGAAAATCCGGAATGGAGTGGACATTACACTTGTGATTCTCTGTTAAACAAATGGGTAATGGCTCAGCGTATTTTTGAGTTATGGCTGCAAAGTACAATTAATGAAAAAGAGTCACCCAAAGTGATAGCTGATTGCGACTGTATAGCTTCTTGAGTGCTAAGCAATAGTCCTCCTGAGTGTAACCATAACTCAATAGTGGATGCTGAGCCATTTACCATCTGTTTTGTAACATAACCAAAAGAGAAAAACTTTTAAAATTGCCAACAGTTTTTAGAGGAATGATGGGACTGTACAGATCATAGTTTGCAAACTCTTCTCCTTCAAAAAAATCTTTTTGCTGGATAGGTATATTTCCATCTCAATATGGAGTTCAACACTGTTTTTTATGTTACCTTGAAAAGATTAGGAGTGCTGGGGGTATGGGGTCCAATGCACATACGCCTGTGCATACAGCTGAAATCTGGAGAAAAAGATTTTTTTATTCCCTGAAAGCATTTTTATTATTCAACTAGGATTGTTGATAAATCTTTTGCATTATATTAGTGTATTTGCCTGTCTGAAGGGTAGACATCTCACCCTTTGCCTTTACCTTCCTTCTTGATGGTGTCATTTTTATCCCATACCACTGTTTAAAAACAACAAACTATTGCATTTTCCTTCATATTTATTTACTAAAAAAGGTCTGTGGAAAATGGAGGACATGGCATTTCTGAGCCCCTAAATGTGAAAAATTTTCTGGGGAAGCATGTCCCCACACCCCCCTTGTTTGCAGTATGTTCGCAGGGTTCTCAATAGAAGGCGGCACCCGGCGATTGATCGCCGCTTACTTTGGGATTTATAGCCGCTTACTTTGTGTTTAAGTCGCTTTTCTTTGCTTTGTTTTGACACCTCTGGCTTTGCGGAAGAGCCTCCTACTTTATCAGTGATCACCTCCTACTTAAAAATCTATTGAGAACCCTGTGTTCGGAGGTCTAACCTTTCTTTCCATGTGCACACCTTTAAAACCTTACGCTACACCCCTGCATGCCTTCTGTAACTTTTCTCTCAGCAGGATAAAAGAGTTCTCTGCAAACTATGAGGCAAAAACAAGATGTAAAAATGTAGTCTCATGGGCCCTGAGCATGTACTAGCTTGTTAGCAGTCAGCCATGGGCAAAAAGTAAATGTGTAATTGACCAATCAGAGTGCACTATTTCCTTTTGTTATGTTATTTTGTTTCATTTTACCTAGGGAGTGAGGGAGGTGGGGGTATCCCTAGAAAAACCTGGGTGGGATTGTGGGGCATGTCTTGTAAAACAGAACCTTAATCTTTTTAAACTACGCGATGGGTTTTTCTCTACCATTCCTCAGACCTGACCTAAAAGAGGTCACGGAGGGGGCAGGGAGAGAGCAAAATGTGATTAGAACAACCTTAAGAGCAAGGGATCAACATACTCAGGCACCAACCTATGGCCTAGCCAGTATCTTACCAATACGCATGCACACAGCCATATCACCGGGGCAGTGGCAGCCATGGACAAGTGTTTTGCCCTTGTTTGAGCTCATCAGCATGACATGGCCATTACAACCCTGCAGTGATGACTTGAGGTCATGTTAACAGTTGCCCTTCACTCTATAGGAACTGTCACACTATCCGATTTATTTATTCTTGCAACTAATAGAATAAAATATTATTATTCCTGGTTGCAGATGTACTGTTGCTGAAGCTGTCGTTTTTTACCAGCATGGCGACTGCAGCACCTTCACCTTTGGCCAGCTCTCCAGAAAAGACAAATGGAAACAAGCTGAGCAGACTTCTCATCGATGGCGGAACAACAGTGCTGAGGAATATTTTCGATCACTATCACCCACCTGTCAACTTGGCTTCTGACCTCAACTCCAATTACTCCATACTTAACAAACTTTTGCGTAAAAGAGTACTAAATGGGCATCAGTGGGACAAATTGTTTCCCCCTGGTAGAGGGGTACCAGACTCCAACACGTTTGACATCACTCTTCTGTTCCTTCTACTAACCAACATTTGTAGTTTATCCCCTCCCTTGACAGGATGGCACACCAAGCCATCCCCTGGTGATAACTCTCTTGAGGCTAACCTTGCTCGTGTTAAGTTCTTCCGGAATGAGTTGTATGGTCACGTGACTTCCACTGCTTTTGATGCGGCAATTTTCTCTTCCCTGTGGCAAGAAATAAGTGCTGTTCTACTTTCTCTCGGTTTGGATCAAGCTGAAATTGACAGACTTAAGGCGGAGAGTGGTGGAGAGGAAGATTATCTTGATGCCTTATTTGAGTGGGCTGACAGTGATGTGGAAATAAAAACAGAGCTTAAGGATATCCGTCAATCTCAAGCCAAAATCCAGGAAGTACTGCAGCTCAAGGAAGACAGAAGAAAAGAAGACCAAGAAAATGAAGTTCTGAAAAAACTGGCAGTTGTTGACACCAAGAAAGTCATTCAAACTCACTTGGACAAGTATCAAGAGGGAACCCGCATTTCTGTCTTTGAGAAGATCGAGTTGTGGCTAAACGACCTTACTTCTAAAAATCGTGTCATGGTAATCAGTGGAGATGCAGGAATGGGCAAATCAGTGATTTCCGCTGTCGTTTGTCAAAGAATGCAACATGCTGGTCGGCTGACGGGAAGTCATTTTTGTCAGCACAACAAGGCACGTCCCAGAAATCCTAAGATAATGCTTCAATCGTTAGCTTATCAGCTGAGTGAGTTTTTGCCTCCGTATAAAAAAGAACTTGTAAAAGCACTGTCTAGAAACTTGGGTGAGGACATCAACAACCTAGAGGTTGGAGAGCTCTTTGAATTGCTGTTCGAGAAGCCTTTAAGAACTGTAGATGATCCGGGAAGAAGCGTGCTCATGGTGGTTGATGGCCTGGATGAAAGTGAATACAAAGGCCGCAATGAGCTGCTTGATGTCATGGCTAATCAGTTTAGTACACTTCCTGGTTGGGTTCGATTTTGTGTTACAACTCGCCCGGAAATAAATATCGCAGACCGTCTTAAAAAGTTCAACCCTGTTCTACTGGAGCAAGATGATGAAGAAAATGTAGGAGACATCAGACGCTTCCTTGAAAGACAGCTGTGCAGCGTCATTCAATCAGGCTTTGAAGAAGTTGTTATCGATGCACTGGTCCAAGAGGCTGCAGGGCATTTTTTATATGCTTATTTGATGGTCGATTTTATCAAGGAAAACGTTTTACTCCTTACCCCCGAGGAGTTAGGAAGAATCTTACCTTCAGGTGTATCGTCTGTTTATCAGTCCTACTTTGAACGTTTAGAAAACGAATTGAAAATTGGTGAGGACCAGTTTTTGAATTTTCTAAGTGCTCTGGCGGCTGCAAGAGAACCACTTCCTCTAGACTTTGTTTCTAAGATGTTGATTTCGGACTTGAAGTCCCCATCTAGTCATCGGAAAGTAAGAAAAGCTATCGATTCTATCTCAACCCTTCTTCCTGTTCATGATGACCGCATTGTGTTCTTCCACAAATCACTTAAGGATTGGTTGACTGACAGAACTGCCTACGGGCGCCACAACTTCTCTGTTTTTGAAAAGCAAGGTCATGTCATGCTTTCCCAGCTCTGTACTAATGAACTGAATAACGTGAAAAGAAAAGGCGTTCACGGCACTGAATTCAGTGACACTGCAAGGTACGCCCTACAGCATGGTGTTTGTCATATGCTCGAGTCGGAAGAGCTGGAAGAGAGTACAAGAAGCTTTGAAGAAATCGTTAACAACTATGTCACGGACTTAGACATTGTGTATGCAAAGCTATGTGTAAACGACACGGCTAGTTCTGAGGACATTGTCCTCACTCAGAAACAAGAAGCTTTTCAGTTATTGAGCAGTGAGAGACAAAACGCCCTTGGCACGTTGTTGTTTCTTTTAAGAAAGTACCATGAAAGACTTACGACGAATCCCACTTCTTTTTTCCAAGTGATGGTGAACGAAGGAGGAGACGATTTTGCTGGTGAAGCGACAGAACTTTTGCAGACCAAATATCATGATATCCCGTACATGAAGTACGTTCACAAGGGGGCTATGGAAGAGGAAATGGAGGTTCAGGCTTTGTTTCGCTGCAACTCTCGAGTGGCTTGTTTTGATATTTCGCCTCAGCAGGAGTTCATGGTGTGTGAATGTAGAGACGGGACGATTCAACTATGGTCAGTACAGACAGGGAAGCAAATATGGAAACGTCCAGTCAAGTTCGGTAAACGTTACGTTGATGATCTTGACGCGTTCAGGGTGGTACCCAACTCATCTGTTTTGTCATGTTATCGCTCCGTTGTTTTTCACCCTACTGAGTCCATTGTTCTTCCTGGAATCCTAAGCCATGCCTACTCAATTGACGGAGCTTTCCTTCCACTGTTCCCTAACAGCAACTGCAAATTTACCGTTTGTTCAGTTAATGGGGATAGTATGATTACAGATTTCCCTAGTGATGCAAAATGCCTAGTCATGTGGAGTCTAACAAATGGCGAAGAGATCACTCGAACTGAGAGAGGTGAGGTTGTATTGTCTTTTGCGTGGTCTCCAGATCGAAAGCTACTAGCAATTTCTCATCTTTCGGGACTGGTTTGTCTGGTTGATGCATTGAATGGCTTTGAGACACTTGCAGAGATCGCCACTGTTTTACCATGTGGAATGATCAAGTTTGCCCTTAACCTCAAATTTCTGTTTTGTTGGTGTAAACCAGTAAAGTCTATGTGGGAGAGATACCCAAAAGGCATTCGCGTGAACGTCAATAACTTGCCTTGTGGCACTTTTTCCTTGGATGTTGTTAACGATAAAGTTGACTATGAACCTTGGGATTATGAATCATCTAGCAAAGCTGGATTCTTGATGGGAGATCCTGTATCATGTTTGTTCAGGCGTGTCGATGACTTTTTGGGACCCCTTTGGGTTCTTGTAGAAGGAGCGTTTGCGTTTGTCTTGAACAGACAAAATTTATTGAGGGTATTCCCTGGAAACAACCGCATTGCCATGTTCAATCCTGGTGAAATGAAAATTGCAACAACCACGTCCCATAGAAGACTACGTCATGTTGCTTTTGCTGTAGATGGGAAGTCCGTTTATGGTGTAACTGAAGACAAGGAAGCAGCAGTGGTATCTTTTGATGTATCAAGTGGAAAACTTACAGCAAAGATAGAGATTGGTACTTGTCGTGATGTCCATTATCCTATACAGCCTTTTACGACCGTAAACTATTCTGACCATGGTATTTGTCTTGTGACAATGACCAATGGTGTCCTTTTGAAACTACGTCATCGTAGGACTGCTGTTCAGCTATGGAATTTTGAGTTGTCTCAACAAGTCCGAAGTTGGCCCAGTCTATGCGAGGTTACGTATATGATGCCAGTCACGGACCATTGTGTAGCATGTGTGGGCAGAAGGTTTGAAGTGAGCATCCTGGACACATTAAGTGGAGACATAATGAAGACCATCTCACTTTGTCATGAGGGATATGAGTCAACATGTCCAATTATGTATAAAGAAGCCATAGAATGTAACAGTACATTTCAGCTGTTATCCACGGCTCGTGACTCAGTTCAGCTTTCAGATGATAGAGGTAGTCTGTGGAAGAGAGTTTTTAAAGATTCTCTGTTGTACTCGTGGAATGTCCCTGGCATGTTTTCTCCAAAGGAAAACTTTGTCCTAATCTCAGCAAAATCCCCTCAGTGTAAGCAAGAAGTACACGTGCTTGATGCGTCTTCAGGGGCCACTCTTTGCACCCTTTGCACAGTCGATCACGTGACGAACTGTGCGTTTGTTAGTGACGCGGAATGTGTAATCGACTGCCAGGATAGATCAGAAAGTTCTTGTCTTCGGTTATTTAATGTTAAGACTGGAGATTTGCTCAGCGTACTTGATATGGATACATGGCCTTCCTGTTTGGCCTCCTTCCCTCAAAAGGGTTTGATCGCCTTTGGCCTCTGGAACTCCGAACGTATGTGCGCATTTATCGAGGTCAAATTGCCTCGAGACAAAGTCAACAGGAAAGCAAAGGTGAGAAATGCGTTCGTTCTTAAGAATTATTTCGCGAAAATCAGTGTATCCAACAACGTCAAACAAATTTCGAGAAAGTCACTTTGCCTGTTACTCTACGGGTTTACGGTACTTGAGCATCGCCTAGCGTTCTTTGTTGCAGGCGACAGAGGCTCAGCTGTTAGACTGTATTATTTTGACAGTTTGTTTATGAATGCAGCATTAATGAATATATGAATTTCATGTGTTGGAATTGTGGGATGAAGGGACAATGCAAGGAAGACAATCGCAGTTAAAGATGCAACTTCAAAAACTCATTGATAATTCATACAGAAAAACCAAAAGAAAGTAACGTTCAATGAGTGTCTTGATACCTGATAAAGACACGGCTAAACCAATAACCCCAAATCTTAATATTAGTGCAAGAATGAGTTTATCTATATCAGAGATTTTGAAGCCGTTCAAAAAACTCGCAGGAACGTTTTGTGTCTCATGGTTGTCTTTTCTTTGTTTTGTTTTTAATCTTACAGGCCTTGAGTGCTCCACAATGATGGATCTGAAGCTTGATCTGCATCTTCCAAACCCAAGAGATGGTGTGAACAATGCAGCGGGAAAACCTCATAAACGGATGGTTCGAAACTTATACAATAGAAACGATTTACGTGTACGGTTTTCTGTTAGTGTCATTAAGTCACTCTTAGCAAGTGGCTTAGAAAAGCCCTGGAACTAACGCTCTTTATCACAATCAATTGCTTAAGATGTGAGGCGTTGCCAGTTGTAAGGGTAGTTTTAGGTAAGAGTTCTAAGGCTAGGTTTTAACAAGTGAAACAGAGGACCATTAAGGAGTAAAGTACACTGTCGCACGAGGTAGCGTAAGGTTTATATTTGAATAGTTCTCTGTGAGTATCGGACATAGTATAAGCTAGTAAAACAAAACATCCACCTACCTTATGTTCTGTATCATAAACAGTAGGTCAAGGTTTATATTTCCTGATTTTTGAAAACTGGATTTTTTGGTCTAAGTCTTAGTAATAGCCTTTTAGAAACACCACCGACAGAACTTGTGTTCAGCGTCACAATCAAATAGGTTAAATCCCCCTTAAACAACCACCTACAAAGCGAAGAGTTAGTGGTCGCTTACGGGAGTCGAACCACTGAGGGTCTTTTTTGAAAACATCTGCTTCTGACAAGACTCTTACAAGGTCACGCAGACGGTATTTTAGCCTGTCACGAAATCCTCCTTCGTAGGGAGGGAACGCATGACGAAGCCCAGAGCAGTCAAGTCTTTTATTTCGCGCATGGATTTCTGGGACAGTACTCTCCCTCCCTTGCGGAAATATGTGCTGAGGATGCCGAAGCAACCCGTGGATTTCTACGTTTCGGAATAAAACACCAACTTTACTTGGCAGAAAGGTAAGTTTGCATCTTTTTATCGGAATAATTACGTATTTTGCGTTTTGGATGCGTATAGCCACCTCATGATTTTACTTTAGCTCACTTCCGCTTTGCGTGGTACATTTTCGAAGCGTATTCAACATTTTCTCTCCATCGTGCACTCCAAAATCCTTTGTCTTTTATCGTACTGGGTATGGATCATCGTTGATCTGATACAATTTTAACGATCGCTGTTCTCCTTAGAAAAGAACCCGGCCTCTGAGGCCTAATGATTAACGATGATAAAACTGAGTTGATATTTATAGGAACTAGACAACAATTAGGTAAGATCAGTGATGTATGTCATATCTCTGTAGGTGATTATGATATTTATCCTAGTTCCTGTGTTAGAAATCTGGGTGTATGGTTTGATAATAAGTTGTCGATGTCAACGCATGTTACTAAAATCTGTAATGCCGCGTTTTATCACCTACATAATATTAGAAGGATTAAGAAGTATTTATCTCGCGATTCGTTACTAACGCTTATTCATGCTTTTATCACTAGTCGTTTAGACTATTGTAATGGACTTCTGTATGGCCTTCCTAACTCGCAAATAGTAATTTTGCAACGTGTGCAGAATGCTGCGGCTAGACTCGTACTGAGCTTAAATAAGTACTCCCATATTTCTCCCGCGCTTTATTAACTTCACTGGTTACTAGTACAACATCGTGTTCATTTTAAGATCTTAATTTTAACATTTAAAGCTATTCATGGATTGGCGCCTAAGTATATCATAGAACTAATTAACATTAAGCCTAGGTCTATATATAATCTTAGATCAAATCAAAGTTTATTGCTAGACCCTCCTAAAGGGAAAATGCTTGTCACGTTAGGTGACAATCTTTCTCTGCTGCTGCCCCATATTTATGGAATAGTTTGCCGGCTGAATTACGTGATATTCAATCATTAGCTATTTTTAAATGTAAGCTGAAAACTTTTTTATTTCGTGCAGCTTGTACAACGTAACCTGTTTGACATTCACTTTATTAGTATTACTAATTAAGTTTATTATCATTATTATAAATATTTTGTTATTATTATTATTATTATTACAGTCAAAGCATGTCAAGCGTTCCTGCCGCTAGTGGACTAATAAATTCATGAATGGAAAAATGATTCGGTTTGTCGATTCAATAGTCCATTCATAAAATGAATAATCCAATAGTCAAATTGGACCTCGATTCAACAATTAAATGTTGATTTGGTTTGTGAACAAAATCTACCTGTTCTTTATTCTTGTCTCTTGCGTTCAATCGTATTTGCTTCCCTTTTCCTACCGTTTACGATTGCGTTTTTCATTGCCTTTAATCAAAATAACAGCTAGAATAGACAGACCGCAAACGCAAAGAAACTGACAAAGGCCGAGGATCGAAATCCACCAATCACCGCACATACACTGACCACAGTTTGACCATCGTGTTACTCTGATTACTGGCAGCAAAATGGCGTACCTGTAACAGTTTGTTTGGGTTTGAACTTCAGAACTCGCCCGCACTATTGAATCAACAAACGAAATCATTTTGCCATTAATGAATTCATTAGTTCGTTGGCGACAGGAACGCTTGACCTGCTTTGACTGTAATATACATTGTTAATATTCATGTACATGTAATTAGTTTTACAAATTTGAATTTTATTGTAGTTTGTTAAGTTGTTAAGCGCTGTTGATCAGTGAATGTAAATAGCCCTCTAGAAGTTATTAAATTATTATTATTATTATTATTATTATTATTATTATTACTTGAAGACTCTGAAAGACTACGGTTTATAAAGAGTCAGTAACTGTAGTTCAAGAAACCCGGAACGTGTAAGGTTTCTGCGCTTCTTTATTAATTCCCAATCTATTCATATTATCTGTTAATATTCTTGATTTTCTACTTACAGCTGTCAGCTATAAGTAGAATTATGTCCCTTGAATTAATGAAATAGGCACTCTGTTCTCTTTACTTTCGTCTGGATTACAACGCAGTCATGCATGTTAGTGGTTAATACAATACAATGGTTTTTCGCAGAATTTGCATGAAAATAGAGTCGTGGCTGCCTTGGCGTCACTTGCTATCCTAGCGTAATCGATCACGAAAACAGGAACTCCTAGGGGATTGTATCTGTGCCAAAATTTGACTACTTCCTGTAAAAAATTATTTTAACATTTGTCAGTTATTGGGCTTTCCATCATGTCAATTGAACATGTAATCAAACTTCAAAAGTAAATAATGATAACAATGTATAACAATAATAATAATAATAATAAATCAGTAGATACATACATGCGCCATTAGCTGTTCATGCCGCTAGAAATTACGGGTAGTTAGCCTATACTGATGCGTTTTGGCATCTTCCCCTGTGGCTGAGGTTAAATGCTTCCAACTTTCCCGTAGTTTTTGACATGATTCTTCCCACTTTAGGGTGGAAACCAAATGAAAATTGGGCCTAATAAAAATAGTCATCCAATCACTGTCGATAATGTGATGCTTCTGTTGTACATGTACATGTACATGAGGCTTTTTAGGGGAGCAGGGGGTATGTATGTCCCTGGTCAAATTTCAAATAGGGTCATTTTGTGTTTTGAGGAGTAGGACATGTCCCTGTTGTTACACTGTATTTAACCCATCTTTATGTCGGCACACTCATTTGTCGTCGTTCAAGGCCATGCCGCATATCGGAGTTTTACCGTAACAGGGTCTTATACATGTGTTATAGAGAACTAAGGATTTCATTTGCATTCCATTGCGTATTGTGTGGTGACCTTGTCCTACTTCTTTGATTCACCAATGAGCACAATTTTCTCAGCATATGTTACAAACAACACAGTAGTTGTTATCATGTCGTGAGATTACTAATTCACCGAGCTGGTGGTAGTTGTAATGTCAGAAATGTGGTAGTGGCAATTGCTATTATACTGAGGGGGCGTTTATAATAGCCATATATGTATTCCTCCATAAAGTATTAATATTTCCCTATTTCAGGGGGAGCTTACACCTACACGTAGGCTCAACTGGTAAATGAGGGAGGTTGAGAGGGTAAGTGTTGGTATCAATGGTCAGCATTGCATTGTGGATATAAAAGTTCAAACAATTAAGCAAGTGGTAGTGTTACTTGCTAAGGAGGGAGGGAGGAGTGTCCTTTTAGTTTTATGGAGGGTGAGTAGATCATACTGGCAGTGGTAAATGAGAGGGGAGAGCAGTTGAGAAAGTGAAAGTGTTATCAGGGAGGAGGAGGGGGCGTTGTAGGGCATGGGAGAGGGAAGAAATAGTGGAAGTAGGGAGATAGGAGGGGGGGCAGGGGAAGTGGGGTGAAATGGGACTTCAGAGCATGTAAATAAACTTTAACATTTTCCCCAGGTTTCTGTTTTATTCACGGTATAAAAACTTTCATTTTGTTTTTGTGGTATCGTGGGAAGCTGTTCTTTTTTCTTTACATTATTTTTCCTTTTGTTAACATTATTTAATAAAATGTAATAGGTCCTGCAATTTGCAATGAGCCGTGCTACAGCGTGTGAGTAAACGTGTCTCAGGGAAATCACAAGTGCATAATATATCCCCGCCAAAATTTGACTTATTAAGCTTCTTAAATTCTTATTAACATTTTTCGTTCTTTTTCAGTGTGTACATGATTGGTGCTTGTAGAAATGTCCTCCAAGTTTTAAACTAGGGATAGTAACTACTTCTCAGGTACCCTTCACTGTTATACTGTCAATGACCCCTTTACTGTTGTATTTTAACTTGGATCTAAAGCATGATTTGTATAGGTAATAGCATGATTTGTAGTGATATTTGGCATAAATACCACGAGTGATATTTCGAAATTGTTATACATAATTTCACGAGCCGTTAGGCGAGTGAAATTTGAGACAATTTTGAAAAATCACGAGTAGTATTTATGCCAAACATCACGTACAAATAATGCTATTATTTGTTTAAACTACTACCCGCAAAGGTTTTGTAATTTTCACATGTAGGTATTTCAAATTAAGCTGAAATACCACTGCTCTAAGCCAATCAAATTGCAGAAATTTCTCATGTAGTAGTATAATTGTTAGAGTTATAGTGTTTTTTTACTAAGATATTTTTTCTCCCCAATTGAGCTTACAAGCCAACTGGGAGCGGAGCTGGTCCTTTAGTCATTTAGTTGCAAACTTGTGAAGGATGAAGATGAAAGACCAAATATATTGATAATATATAGATTTAGCCAGGGCTAAAAGCGAAGCTCCAATTTAGACATCTATAATTTAAATCAAACAATAAACTTTTAATCCACAAATCAGTTAACTTAAGGGCACATTCATGTGACTTTTGAGGGAAAGGCTAAGTTATTTTAGAGTGAAACATCTTACATCGAATTGATAACCTTATATGTACACCTAAAAAATAGCAAACATCTTCGTTCACATTCAAGATCACAGTAGATTAGGCCTCGAAAACAAATTCTTGGAACACAAATCACGCCGAATTTTTTTGCGTTCGACAGGTTTACTTTACAAATTCTTGCCAACAAATCCGGGGGTGTTTAAACCATCATTTGAGGTGAAACAGTACTATTTATCATACAGACCTCGGACAGAATGCGGTGTTTCACAATTTTTCAAGACAAATTGCACTCGGTCAACATTCAGGACGATCAATCGTGGGGCTTAAGCGAAACCGTTCAAAAATTTCCAAAATCACCCATACGGCCAGCTGGTTCTCATAGTGCGAGCTGTCAGTGTGGTCGAGTGTTTGAATGAACTTTAATAGAGTTACGCTTCAACGTAATAACGAATTTATTATTATTATTATTTTTTTTTATTTAATGGTTTCAGTTATAACGATGTGTAATCTTATAAAGCGTTTGATACGCGCGAAATTTTTGAGTACTCCTGCAAGCGATGTTCATGAACGATGAAAACAAACAGCACGGACAAGGATTAAAATTGCAAGATAGACTACTAACAATCAGAAAAAGAAATATAATTCGGTGAAACATTTACAGAGACAACAATTTTCATTCACGAAGACAAGTATTAAAGTGTCTCTAAAAATCCTGAGTCTTTAAGCGTAAAGCTTAAGCCGGCTTCCCTGCGCGGTGTTTACTGTTTTCGAAGGTGAACTCCTCGAAGCAAGAAAATCGCTCAAAATTTTCTTTCTACGGCCAAATTTATAACTTAATATTCTTCGGAACGTTCTCTTTTTACTTGCGGTGAGCAAATGTACCTGAAGGCTTTTTAAAGTTCTGTAAGCTTATATCAAGCCTGATACTAGGTCAAATCATTGACTCAAATACTACAAACGTGCATAAACTTACCGCATAAACTGTCAGCGTGAACTGTGCAAGACTTCATGAAATAAGATATAACAAAAACAACATCAAATACAATAATTACTCAGGCTTACCATTCGAGATTCAGTTCCTGAAAGCTATCAAGGAGGGCCACAGTTGCTTGAGACTTTTAAACCCTCTTACGCATTAAGCAAGGTGAAAAACAAAAACGATGCCATCCGAAATCGAATTACCGAATTTTGACAAGTGACACATTTCTCAACCAAAAACCCAGTAAACAAACCAGCCATGAATAACAGAAGACTCTTGATAGCAGCTGTATTTCATTTTGTACATCCAGAGGAAAAAGACAGTTAAAAACATCACAAGTTGACACAAAATTCTGTCAGCTTCAGCTGTTAAAGTAAAGACAGTAAACAACTTTCAAGATGCTGAATAATTTTTTCGCATGAACTCACCTGTCAAATTTTGACCAATCAGAGTATAAAAATTGGACGTAGAGCATGACCATGGTAAGATAAGGTCTTCTCCGCCTGTACTTTTAAAAAAACTGGCTGAATTTTCGCGTCCGAGGTCAGTTTGAAATCAAAATCCTAATAGTGCGGGGCCATAGTGACATAAACACAACATATTTGATATGAATCATTGGAAAAAATAAACGTGAGCCTGCGATCATTTGAGACTGGTAATTTGTCAGCGGATAACTTCAGAAAATCCTCGACCTCGATGGGTCGACACTTGACCCCGCGGTACGGTCAGGTGATACTGGTCAGCTGATACCCTGTTTTGACAGCTGTCAATTGATCACAATACTAATGTGCAATTAGTTTTCTCTTGGGCTCCCAAAGAGAGAGAGTAAACATTGGTTCTCCTGTGGTGCGGACAGACGGTCGGCGGTCCGTGTACGGTCACGTGATTACCAAATTTTCTGGGATGGGTAGATTTACTTAGCTATGGGGCTCCGCCGACGCGCGCGCGAAGCGCGCGCGTGCAGCTCCGCTGTCACAAACAAATTTGCATGATGATCAAAGTGTGCACTGTAATAGGCCTTATTCAAAACTACCTTAATACTCATAGTACTCTTTGTTTCCCCTACAAACGTTTGCATAAGCATTGTTTGTAATTTATCTTGGGACTTACGTTCGTCCTCACATTCAAAATGCATGCTAATGTACAATTGTGGGGGGAAAGCAAAGGGTATTGTGTTTTTTTATCATTATTACTCAACAGCTGTTTAACTTAAACTCTTAAATGTGTGGTGGGACCCTCTGAATATGTTAATAACCTTGGTGAGGCACTCAACTACTCAGTATTTTAGGTTCTTTTTTATGAGAAAAGATAACTGTGATTCAAAGTTAATTTGTTTTTGTGTGTGTGTGTGTGTGTGTTAGTTTCTATGCAGATTTGAAAGGTGGTGGATATTTCCTTTTCTGGCTCTTATGGCGACTGCAAGACCGTCACCTCTGGCCAGCTCTGTAGAGAAGACAAATGGAAACAAGCTAAGCAGACTTCTCATCGATGGCGGAACAACAGTGCTGAAGAATATTTTTGATTACTATCACCCTCCTGCCAACTTGGCTGGTAATCTTAGTTCCAAATGTATTCATTCCATTCTTACGAGACTTCGGCATAGAAACATTCTGAATGGTAGTCAATGGGACAAACTCTTTCCAGGAGGAGGGACACCAAACTCTATTAACTTTGATATCACTCTTCTTTTCCTCTTGCTGACTAACATTTGCGGACTATCCCCGCCCCTCTCGGGCTCTTGGCACAAAATGCCCCCCGCGAGTGACACCTCTAGGGAGGCTAACCTTGCTCGCATGAAGTACTATCGAAACGTGCTTTATGGTCACGTGGCGACAACTGGCATTCAGACATCAGTGTTTGATGTGAAATGGAAGGAAATAAGTTCCGTTCTTGTTTCGCTTGGTTTAAGTCAGTCTGAAGTGGACAGATTAAAGCGAGAGCCTTGTGGAGAGGACTATGTCAGCGCTGTTACGGAATGGATGAAAAATGACGAGGAGATCCAATTCCAGCTGAAAAATCTACTTACAAAACAACAGCAAGTGCTCCAAACCCAAAAGGAAGATCACAGAACTCTTCACGATACGCGTCAAATAGTTGGAAAAGTGCAAGAGACGCAAATAGAAGCCAGCAAATTACAACAGAAGGACCACAAAACTCTTCAAGATACACACCAAACAGTCCGGCAAGTAGAACAGACTCAAATGGAAGCTAGCAAATTGCACAAAGAGGACCACAAAACTCTTCAAGATACGTACCAAACAGTTCGCCAAGTAGAACAGACTCAAATGGAGGCAAAAAAATTGCACAAAGAGGACCACAAAACTCTTCAAGATACGTACCAAACAGTTCGCCAAGTAGAACAGACTCAAATGGAGGCTAGCAAATTGCACAAAGAGGACCACAAAACTCTTCAAGATACGTACCAAACAGTTCGCCAAGTAGAACAGACTCAAATGGAGGCTAGCAAATTGCACAAAGAGGACCACAAAACTCTTCAAGATACGTACCAAACAGTTCGCCAAGTAGAACAGACTCAAATGGAGGCTAGCAAATTGCACAAAGAGGACCACAAAACTCTTCAAGATACAAACCAAACGGTTGGCAGAGTGGAACAGACGTTTCAACATACACACCAGGCAGTTGGCAATTTACAACAGGTGCAAAAAGAGGCAGTCAAATTGCAAAAAGAGGACCACACAATTCTTCAGGACACGCGCCAAGCAGTTGAAGGTGTACAGCGGTCTATACAAGATACAAAACAGATGTTACGTGAAGTTCGGAGAACGCAACAAGAGTCGCAGCAGAAGATAAAGTATGAGGCTGCAAACGCTGAAGAAAGAAGAGATAAAGCTAAAGAGGATGAAGCTTTGAAAAAATTAGCAAAAGTTAACACCGAGGGAGTCATCCAGTATCACTCTGGGAAATACCAGGAGGGAACGCGCTTGCACATCTTTGAGAAGATCAAGTTGTGGCTAGACGATCTTACATCTGAAAACCGTGTGATGGTAATCAGTGGAGATGCGGGAATGGGCAAATCAGTGATCGCTGCTGTCGTTTGCCAAAGAATGCAGCACGCTGGTCGGCTCTCAGGAAGCCACTTTTGTCAGCACAACAAGGAACGTTACAGAAACCCCAAGGTGATGCTTCAATCGTTAGCTTGTCAGCTGTGTGATGTTTTACCAGAATACAAAAGTGAACTTGTGGAGAAACTTTCTAGAAACTTGGGTGTGGACATGAACAGCCTAGAAGTTCAGGAGTTGTTCGAATTTCTTTTCGAAGAGCCTTTATGCGGCGTAGGAGACCCTGGGAGAAATTTGCTGTTAGTTATTGATGGCCTGGATGAAAGTGAATACCAAGGGCGCAATCAGCTGCTTGAAGTCATTGCTAATCACTTTTGCACGCTTCCTTCTTGGGTTAGGTTTTGTGTTACCGCTCGACCGGAAGTAAATATCGCAGGCCGTCTTAAAAAGTTTAATCCTGTTCAGCTGAAGCAAGATGATGAAGAAAACGTTAAAGACATCAGACTCTTTCTTGAAAGACAGCTAAGCAACGTTATTCAATCGGGCGTTAAAGAAGTCGTTATCAGTGAACTGGCCCGAAAAGCTGCTGGACATATTTTATACGCCTATTTGATGGCCGATTTTATCAACAAAAACTTTTCAAGTTTCACCCCTGAGGATTTGGGAAGAACGTTACCTTCTGGTGTATCATCTGTTTATCAGAATTATTTTGAACGTTTGGAGAGAGAATTAAAAAGTATTGAGGAATTGACGATAAGTGCTGACCAGTTTTTTACTTTTCTTAGTGCTTTTGCAGCTGCAAAAGAACCTCTTCCTCTAGACTTTGTTTCTAAGATGTTGCGGTCGGACGCAAAGTCTCCAGCTTGTCACCCGAAGGTAAGAAAGGCTATCGAATGTATCTCAACCCTTCTACCTGTTCAGGATGGCTGCATTCACTTCTTTCACAAATCAGTTAAGGACTGGTTGACTGACAGAACTGCTTACGGCCAACACAGCTTGTCTGTGGATGAAAAACAAGGTCACCGCCTCCTTTCTCAGCTTTGTAGTGGTGAATTAAATGATGTTAAAAATAAAGGTGTTCACGGCACAGATCTCAGTGACACTGCGAAGTACGCCCTACAGCATGGTGTTTATCACATGCTTGAATCGGAAGAGAGTACAGAAGCATCCAGCTTTAAAGAAATCGTTGAGAACTACGTAATCGACTTTGAGATTATATTTGCAAAGTTGTGTGTAAACGACACGACTAGTTCCGAAGATATTATTCTTGTTCAAGAACATGAACTTTATCAAGCACTGAGTGGCAAGAGTAAAAGAACTCTTAGCACGTTGATGTTTCTTTTGAGAAAGTACTTTGAAAGGCTGACGAAACTTCCTAGTACATTCCTTCAAGTGATGATGAATGAGGGAGGAAAAGATTGTGCTGGTAAAGCGAAAGAGCTTTTACATAACAAATATCATGAAATACCGTACATGAAGTTCGCGGATGAGCGAGCTGCAAAGGAGGAAATAAGTGGTATTCAGGCTGTGTTTCGCTGCACCTCTCAAGTGGCTTGTTTCGATATTTCACCTCAGCAGGACTTCATGGTGTGCGAATGTATGGATGGGACAATCCAGTTTTGGTCACTCCAAACGGGGAAGTTCATGTGGAAACGCCCGGTCATGGTCGAGAAACGTTACGTTGAAAGCCGTGGCGCCTACAGAATGATGCCGAACACATCTGTATTGTCGTGTTATCGCTCTGTTGTTTTTCATTCTTCTGAACCCATCGTTCTTCCTGGAATCCTTAGCCATGCTTACTCAACTAATGGAGACCTCTTAGCTTTGTTCCCTAACAGCAACTGCAGATTTACGGTCTGTTCAGTTAATGGTGATAGCATGATTACAGATTCCCCTGGTGATGCAAAATGCCTTGCATTGTGGAGTCTAAGAAGTGGCGAAGAGATCACTCGAACTGTCAGAGATGAGAATGTATTGTCTTTTGCCTGGTCTCCAGATGGAAAGCTTCTGATGATTTCTCATTTTTCAGGACTATGTTTGGTTGATGCTTCGAATTGTTTTGAGACCCTTGCAAAAGTCACCAGTATTAGGCCATATGGAATGATTACATTTGCTCCTAATCTCGAATTCCTGTTTTGCTGGCGTAACGAAGTTAGTTTTCGAAAGGACCCATACATGTTCCGAACGTACCATCGCTTATACCTCGACGAGTTGAGTAAGGGCATTTTTGTCTTGAATATTGACGATGACGCTGTTGTTGACTCTGAACCTTGGGATGATGAATCCAGTAGCAAAGGTGGATTCTTGATGGGAGATCTTATGTCGTATTTTTTTAGGAGTTTTGAGTTCCTTGAAGAAGAACGGGCGTTTACGTTTGTTTTAAACAAACAAAGGGTGCTAAGGATGTCCCCAGGAAACAACTGTATTACCATGTTCAGTCCTGATCGACTTAAAATTGCAAGAACCATGTCCTGTACAAACCTCCGTCATGTTGCCTTTGCTTTAGATGGGAAGACCGTTTATGGTGTTGCCGAAAGGAATAAAGCAGTGGTATCTTTTGATGTGTCAAGTGGAAAACCTAAAGGAAAGAAGGAGATTGATACTTGTGATCTTCGTTTTCCTAACCCGCCTTTTATCGCCGCGAACAATTTGGAAAATTTTGTTTGTCTTGTACCAGTGAACAACGGTGTCGTTTTGAAACATCGTGGGATTGCTGTTCAGCTATGGAATTTTGAGCTGTCACAACAAGTCCAAAGTTGGCCCAGTTTATGGGACGTTATGTATATAATGCCAGTCACAGACCGGTGTTTAGCATGTGTAGGAAGACGAGTTGAAGTAAGCATCCTGGACACATCAAGTGGAGACATTGTAAAGACCATCCCAATTTGTCATAGAAGTCATAACAGATACGAGTCAACTTATCAGTTCAGGTTTACACAAGTAATAGTATGTAACAGAAAATATCAACTGCTATCCATCGCTCGTGACTCTGTTCAGCTGTCAGACGACGAACGTTGTCTATGGAACAGACCCTGGAAAAGTTCCCTTTTAGACTCCTGGAAACTACAAGGGATGTTTTCTCCAACAGAAGAGTTTGTCCTAATCCCCGCAGAAACGTGTCAGTGCAGACAAGAAGTACACGTGCTTGATGCGTCGTCAGGTAACACCCTCCGCACACTATGCACAGTCGATCACGTATTCAACTGGGCGTTCGTTAGTGACGAGGAATGTGTAATCGGCTGCCAGAATATCTCAGAAAGTTTTTCTCTTCAGCTGTTTAATGTAAGGACTGGGGATTTTCTAACTGTACTTGATGCGGATTCTAGACCTACCTGCTTGGCTTCCTTTCTGCAAACGAGTTTGATCGCCGTTGGCTTAAGTGACTCCAAACGTATGTGCTCGATTATTGAAGTAAGACTGCCGCGAGACAAAGTTAACTTTGAAGCGCCAGGTAAGTAGTGCGGTTTTTTTTTTCCAACCTGTACATCAGTTTAATCAATAAATATATTCTTTCATTGGGCCTTACAGTCGATTAATCAATTGTTGATTTATTCACTAGTATTTGGTCTGTCTCAGATAAAGAACAGGGTTTTAACTTTTTGCCTATAACTGATGAATTTTTTTTAGTGACTGCTCAGCTCAACTGCTGTTCAGGCAGGCAGCTAGACCGACAACTAAATTGCATAGTTTAGTAAATGACCTGACGACAGACATCAACAAAAAATTAATAAGTCAATCATTTTGGAAGAAACAAGCAAATGCATATGAAGAAAGAAAGTTTAACGATGGTCGACCTTGCGACATTTCGGGCGAACAATCTTGTATGACCTTATGCTGTCCTGGTCAAACACTGCTGTTAATCTTGCCTTTGGAGTTTCTTAGGGAAATACCACTACTGCCGGAGAAAAAGTATCGTAATTTGCCTAATTCAATGAAGTTAAGAAGGCTAAACCTAAGTCTTCAAACCAGCAATTTATGTGAGATTTAACTCAATGCGAATCTAGTGATGACTAGCCCTGGGGCATTTGATTATAAAATTTGCTGCTCTTGTAATATATTTCTAATAATACTGAGACCGCCGCAATCAAGACGCGATCTGACAAGAGCTGTGTAATGCATAAACTACGAGCAGTTTCTTATTCTTCTATTTAGCCACAGTTGATCGAGAGCACGCTCGAGGGGAGAGCGTTGAAGACGGTCTTTTTTCCTCTCTCTGCCATAATCTATTATTCTTTTTATTCTAATTTGCATAATATTATTTTTCGCTCGCCGCGCCTGGCTCTGAGGAAAGAAAGACGACCGGTCGCTTTATATGCCCTAGAACAGTTCATCTTAATGAAGCCCACTGTTCCATCAGTGTTAAGTTCCCTGTGATAATCCCTCTTTGAGATAACACACACTGTTTAGATCATCATTGTAATGTTTTGCAGTTTCCCAAAGCTCAACACCCGGGGAGGAGGACAGCTTCGCTATGTGTAAACCGCTGTGCAAGTTGTAAGTGCACCGTTCTTCATCCCTCCTGTTATAACTCTTTAAATAAATTAATTTATCATTCATTCAAAATATTTCGCCGTTTTGATTGGCCCAAATCCGCCAGCCTTGTTCAGTTTGGTATCACCACCTTGCTTCCAGGCAGAGGCTCGGCAGCCTAGCTGTTTTGGGATGAGTAAACAAAAACAAAAAAGTGGCAGAAAAGTTCACGGCTATCCCAGGACCAAATAGCCGAATTACTTATTAAAACTTGGAATTTGTGCTAAGACACGCAAACATCTATCTTCTTTTAGAGGAGTATCTCAAGAAAAAAAACTTCTGTTCATATCATGAAACTGCCTATAAACAGGCGAATGTTTTGAAGAGTCTTGGAGGAAGTAAGGGTGTAAAGAACATGGAAATATTTTGAATGAATAATAAAACAAGTATTGAATTCGGCCGTCGAAGAATAATGCTTATCTCGGAGACTGTTATCCACATTAGCCGATCTTCATAATTCGTCATATTATAACCAGTCCCATTCAATAATTCTGTAATATCCGCATACAGATGATCGCCCTCATTTCCTAAGGATTGGTTTAGAGAATTTGATAAAAGGACAAAGTATTTTGCCTTTGGTGATTACTTTGTTAATTTTCATAACCTTTTCTTTTGATGTTGTATACCCATGGACATTTGTTAGTAGAAAATTTCACTTGTTGGTAATCCTTTGGACTTGAAGGATTAAGCTGCTAAATAGGTCATTTTTATGGATGTAAAAATAAGGAGAGTTTAAAAGGCCTGCGTACTTGACAACTATTTGCATTGGATACTTAAATCACTTTTGAGCGTTTTTGTGTGTTTGTCTTTCACTTACTTCATTCTATTGGCATGGTTTAGTTATTAAACATGTTTGTCGGTGCGGATGAGCCGCAAAGCATATTTATGCCATCTAGTGTTGTATTTGGTAAAAACACCCCAGATACATCGGAAAGTCGCTAATGTTCCCTGAATGGTAGCTGACTCAATCTGTCTAAACTAACCTGAGCTGAATTGAACAGAGCTGTTGACAGTCTCTCACAGGTAGTTCTGTAGATGTTCTTGAGATTGATAGTTGTGGTAGTGATTTTCATTTTGCAATTTTCTTAGCCTGTGTCAGGCCGTTAGATAGTAGGGACGTCGCGAAAATAAAACTAGTCAAGTGAAAATAAGACGCGCGCGATCTCCCCAGCCCCCGCGCGTTTTTCGTATCACTTTTTACTGCGCGACTGCACTTCTATCTTGGAGGTTGGAACGGGTTACAATTCTGTGCCTTTTTTGTAAACGTTTTTTACTTACAGTTACTTATTAATTTGACAGGTTTTAAGCTTTCATGACGATAATGGATGTGTTTAATGCCATTTCACGTGGCTAGTCTCGCAATCTGACAGAAGCAGAAAACAGACAAACTGACGGAAAACCTCAAGGGTGGATCGTCAAAAGTATGCAGCCAGCAGTACAAAACGCATATTCAAGTGTAGCCTGCGAGCATCTCTCCTATTTGGGCGAGGCTCCTGTGCCCCGCGTGGCTTCGCCGCTCGCTCGCTCGCGCGTTCTCGCGAGACTCGCTTCGCTCACCCAAATAGGAGAGCTTTCTCGCAGGCTAATTTAAGTGGTCTTAATTAGTGTAGTACCATTAAGGGGCTGACAATAATTATTAGCTAGTAAACAGAAAACCTCTAGTAATACCATTTTAATCCCAATCAAATAAGGAATGTATTTGAAGAATTTTTTATTGGTGTCATTAACTGACTTAATGTTAGCAAGTAAAACCAAAAAAAAAAATCAAAGAAATAAGGGACTACTCGCAGTGCAATTAAATTATGTAGGTTTAGTTAGTAATTTTGTGAAGAATTTATTCTAAAGGTTATAATATTATGCTAAGGGGTTTTATTAACATCATTAAATGACTCAATAACAGCCATCGTTTTTACGTGAAGTAGTTTCTTTTAAGATTGAATTTAATATTTAGTCATTATCGAAAGCAATTTAGCTTATTACGTTTATATTCGAGGAGTTATCTAGTAGTCTAGGACTTGTGTATTAGTAAGTGAAACAGAACATCAGAGAAATTTATGTCCACTATCTCTAGGCATGTCCAGCCCTGGCCATGAAATCCAGAGTTTATTTACTTCTTACTAAGTTTCACACTTCTCAGAGGTGTTGAAGTGTGGAAAAGTCTGACAAAGTAAGGGTAATCTCACACTTTCCCCCAGTCATGAACTCCTTGTCATTCTTTACTTAGTTCCACACTTCTCAGAGGTGCGAAAGTGTGGAATAGAGGGATCGTGACTAGGGAAAAAGTGTGACATCATCCTTACTTTGCCAGACCATTCCACACTTCTACACTTCTGAGAAGTGTGGAACTAAGTAAAGAATGACAAAAGGTTCGTGACTATGGGAAAAGTGTGACATTATCCTGACTTTGTCAGACTATTCCACACTTCTACAATTTTGAGAAGTCTGGAACTTGGAATGCGAAGGGAATAGGGTTATTTCAGACTTCCACACCTCAGAAAAGAGTAGAACTAAGGATGAAAAAGGAAAGTAGGGATCTTGTGGCCAGCGCTGGACATTTGTGATCTTAAGAATAGCTTCTGTTTTATATTTGAAGTGTTTTCAGTTAATACAAAAAACGTAAGAACTTCTGTTCAGTATTACTAGCAATAGCTTCAGTTTTATTGATTTGAAGAGTTTTCAGTTAATACATAAATCTTAAGAACCTCTCGTGCTGAGTATCATTAGCAATAGCTTACGCTTTGTATTTCAAGATTCCTCTTTTAGTTCAAGGCTTGGTAATAGCAAGTAAAAAGAAAACCTGTAGAACCGATACTAAGTATCATGAGTAATAGCTGTTTAAGTGTTAAATTTCCGGAGTTTTCCACTAGCATCATTGGGTGACTTAGTGAAGCAAACAACTAACATTACGTAGGTACAGCATTGTTATCGAGAATCAAGGTTTATATAGAAGCACTGAATCTTTTTCAGCTACAACAGTCTTTTAAACAACTTGTGTACTTTGTCACAGCAAAAGCCTCTGAGGTATACACTGTATATTTGAAGTGTTTTGAAGCTTAACCTGAGATCAGGCGTTATTTTTTTTTTTTTTGCTTCTGTGCTTCTTTGGCTCGAGAGGGAAAAAAATAACACCTGATACATTAATTTAACAAGCAGTCAACCGCCCCCTAATTTACATAATCTAACGTCTGCTTGACCTGTCATGTTATTAGCCAATAAGCGTTTACCATACGGGAATCAAATTTTGGCGCGGAGAATTTTTTGAAATCAATTTTAGGGAAAGAAAATTTTTAAGTTCGTCCATGTTCAGATGGCGCTTCCTAAAAAAAATTTTTAATGTGTTGTTTTTGTGATGAAGTACTGCTAGCTGGAGCTGCCGTATTATTTAACAGCTACAAATAATAAAGAATTTACTGGTTAAAGCTCGTTCAGTTCGTTCTGTGCCGAAAGCGGTGAAAAAATAGGCTGAAGCACCATATTTCACGAACTGAAAGGTGTTGTGAAAGCGAAGATCGCTCAGAATAATTCGCAGCATGATTTCTGAGGGAGGAATTACAGTCAAATCAGGTCAAGATTCCATTCATGAATTGATTATTTGAAAAGTGAACCTGTTTCTCGCTTTTGTAACTTGTAGCCGGTATCAAGTTGCATTCAAATGATCGGTGAAGTTTTGACTACAACTGTTTTAGTATACGATGAGATGGAAAATATTTCAATGGATGAAACTTCTATTTAGGCATTCTTCAAATTCAAGACTGAGCCGGCAGAAATTTCATAACGAACTCGCGCGTGTATTCACTACTCATTACGCAAGCAAAAATGCAGACTGAAATCAACAATTGCAACAACTAACGGAAGGCGGCATTTTGGCCAATCGGAACAGCGCAAATCATCCGTATTGTTTCCTATCCAATCAGAAAAAAGTCTAGATTCTGGCTTTTTTACATGCGATCTGACAAAGAAATGTATCATGCCCTCTTCCCGTGAGAGACATAAAGGGATAATAGGGAGAGGGCATGATCTCAGGCTATTTGAAGCTAGACGTTAGACTCCTGGCCGCGGGGGAGGGCTGAGGTAAGCTTTCATCAGAAGACATTTGAAAAGGTATCGGAAGGACAGAGAACTATGTAAGCCAACTGATATCCTTGTTTTCCAGCAAAATTCGCTGTAATATGCAATGAATTGATAACTATTCTATCACAAGCAGTTTTTTTTACCAGTTTCTCACCAAGAAAAGCGTCGAGCCTGCGAAAAATGTGAAAAATGCTTATGACAAGGTTCGTCGTTTTCCAAACTTTATTTCATTAGAAAGACTTACAAGGAAAATTATGTTTTGTATCTCGGTTTAGCTTGTCCAGAGGGCTGGGTTGAAAACGGAAATCAGTGCTACTTTATACTCCCCGAAAAAAAGGAAGCATTTGTGGGACTTTACCTATGCAAGCAACTAGGAGCAACCCTGCCAATCATCAAATCAGCCGAGGAGAACGACTTTCTTGTGAGTCTGACAGAGGGAAAAGGTGATCCACGGCTTGGAATGATAGCACCCAACGGCGACAACGTCTTTGAATGGCTCGACGGGACTGCTGTGGCCTTCTCTGCATGGAATACCGGTGAGCCTAACGGTCCTGGATCAGAGAACTGTGGGATGGTGTACGTCAGCGGAAGTGGCAAAGGAAAGTGGAATGACGAACCCTGTTCGAATCCCCGAGAAGAAATGAGTCTGGCCCACAGCTGCTGTGAAGCTACTGAAATTTTAGGCTAGTCTCACGTCTCACATGTAGAATTGTAGTGGGCGATCAATACTCAGTGAGCCAAACCTGACAAAGAAATAAAGGTGTTGGGAAATATTACTTGTTGTAGACAATCATTTGTTTGTATATTTGGATAATGAATTTAATGTAGTTGTCAGTATCTCAACTGGCATCGCATCCAACATTACCATCCACCAATGCCAATGATCATTTAACATAAGAGCGGAATTTGGGATATATCTCAGGGAACCCATACGCTGTCCTATCAAGCCAAACTTACGGGGGGCACCCAACGACTTTTTTTCTGTAAAATTACTATTCGAAGGAGCAAATATTGCGCGAGAAATTTAAGCTGTAAAGCGGCAGGTGACAAAGTCTAAAAATTTCTGGATAACCTTTCGTTTATGATATTCGGAGTCTTTCTGCGAACTTACCCTGCCACTTCCCTCGGAGCTTGGTTGGTCAGGGTAAAAAAAAAACGCTTAAGTCTAAAATTCGTGAATCTGTTATAATTAATGTAGAACCGTAACCCTTTATCCCTGAAATTATTTTGTCAATTATCCCTTATACTCAACAAAATTAAGGTATGGGTCTTCTATTTAATTCCTCAAAAACGGAGGGTGTGGTTTAACTTTATAAACGTTCAATATAGCGCAAAATAACTTATGGACAGACTACCTGGGTGTAACTTCAATAACTTTGAATTATGGTTGCAGTCATTAATTGTCATGTGACTTATCAAGGCTATTTTTAGCTCAAAATTCTATTTGGCAAAATGGCACCACTTTTCATTACTTTCTGGAAGTTGCAGTGATCGTCATAGTGATGAGACTAACAGGTATATCATTTCTGTGGCCAGGCCTTTTAAGTTAATCTTTTAGAAAGAGTCGAAATTCCGCGAAAACCGTTTGATGCGCACTAGTACAAAATTCCGTTTGTTTATACTTTCAATAACTTATTCAACAAAGCCCGACACAGATGTTTAGTCGAGGGCTAGGGCTACAAAATAGAGGCACCAACTCTTACCCTCCAAAGATAGCAAGATGTAAACAAAGCTGGCCGGCGAAAACATCCGTTTCTCTTCGCTCTTCGCCGCTGGGGACGTTTCCCGCCGCGCGAAACGTCCCCAGCGGCGAAGAGCGAAGAGAAACGGATGTTTTCGCAGGCCACAAACAAGCAAGAAAAAAAATATACAAAGAAAAGAACCTGTCCTACATACACAGCACATAAAGGATAAGTAAACAGCATTTGAGCGAGAATTTCTGCAACGCAGTACTTCGATGGAACAGTTACCCCCGTATCCATTTTCCTTACTTAAGCACGTCCCTTTTTTGTTTACGGGGTATTAGTCACAAATAAATCCCGGGGACGAGATTCATCCCGTTCTATTGACCGTAAATCTCCTTGTAACTTCCCTCTTAATAAGCCCCCCCCTCTCCGAGAATAAGCTCCCCCCATTTCAGGGGGATAATTAAAAAGTTTTGAAGCCCCCCCGTCTCTTTTACGCCCTCTCTCTCTCTTTCTCCCTTAATATTCACAACCAAATTCATAAATGATGCACTGTACACTTTTGGCTGTTCATGGGGACTGATTTGGTATCGATTATTCTTCGATCCTTAGCCTTTCATGTACCTTAGTGGTGGTTTAATTATAAATTCGCGAGTTTAACGAGAGAGTATTGAGCGGGCAACCTCGTCCCCAGGGCGCTTTTCCCGGCTTTTGGCCTCCTGGGGACGAGGTTAAGTTGTTTCGCCGGGTTATATTTTCGCGATTTTAACAGGTAAATATGAAAAAAGGGCATTAAATTTCACGATTTAGGCGATCTCAACTTCATCGTCTTTTTTTTAAAGTCTGAACCTTTAAAAAAAAAATAAGATAAACTGGAACAAGGAATGTGTGAAATCTTTGCACTGCTAACGTTACTTCACAAAGGGAGATAGAAAATGTAGCTTACCAGTAAAACCATTTAACAATTTGTGTTTGTCAACACATAACGTCGCTATCACATGTTTATTGTTATTTGAATTTTCTCTATGGGTATTTAATTTCGCATTTTTTTACAAACGCTAAAAACGCGAAATATTAATTAAGTCCCAATAAGGTATTTGAGTTTTTCCACTTTGCGTTCTGGTTCTTTATGGAAAATTGATGCCATTTTCTGGTTATTCGAAAAGGCAATATAGCACCCTGTTACGCGAAATTAAATAAGCCCATCCCCCCAATCTTTAACTCCCCGACTGTCCCCCCAGCCTAGCAAAAAAAGGCTCCCTAGGGCCGGGGGGCTAATATCAGGATTTTCACCTGCGCGTGGAGTTCTGGGATTATTGTTAACAAACGCGTTACAATATAACTGAACAAAAAAGATTTTTTCGCAGTTTATCGACGGTGGATTTCGACGAAAAGGTAAGTTAACAGCGGCTTTACGAAGAACATTTTGTTCATTCTATAAAAGAGTGCTAGCCAGAGCGGAAAGAGTGACATTGTTTGCATTGATCTCAGGTTGAAAATATTCTTAGCATGATCCTGTGATTCGAAGTGATAATCACAAGGGAAAACAGTTTTACAAAAGGCCAATGGAATAAAGGTAAGAAGGCTTTATTTTCTATGATTTTGATTTCTTTCTTTTTCTCTTTGTCGGTCTTGTTTCTTTCCTTGATCCTTTGTCCCCTGGGATTTTCTTTTGAACATGGATCATGAGATTGATCGTGTTTTTTAGGAGTGCCCATTTTAGCTTTCGATCAACCGAAATCGAATATGCCCAGCGTGTAATCACGAGCTCACTTCACAGATGGTTGAAATTTATAACTCTACTCGACTTTGACTCGATAATTGCGAAATTTTTCTATATCGCGAGCTAAAACTTACTGAAAATGAACTGCTGACTATTGACTGTGTATAACCGCGTGGTCCTCGGGAGGGGGGGGTCACAACCGTCCAGAAATTGTGAGATTACCTTGGAACTCTGAGCATTCAAATGCACATTGCAACCCTACTCGAGGCTATTTGTTGTATAACATTCAGCAAAAACCATAAGCACATTGTGTAGGCAGTATGGGGTAAAATTCTGAAAAGTGCCAATGCCTTGAAACTTTAACACAAGATAGAAGAAATGGTGATGATGGCAAGAAGATTGGTTGAAACTGCGACTTCAATTACCAGGCCCCAGTTGTTCAAAAGCTGGATTTAAGCGCTATCCACCATGCCAGATAATTCACTGTGCAACAGATAAGTGTTAGGGAAACCAATTGTGCTATCCAGGGGATTAAGTGAGTTAGTAAAATCCAACTAGTTGTCTATTATCAATGCTGCATTCTGATTGGCTGAGCTACTACTAGGCTATATGTTGTAGTCCACTAGTAGCGAAAAATGCCAGCTTTGAAAACCAAAACAATGGCAATAAGTCTAGCTTTAACTAACTAAAGTTGTTTTGTCTCGATATTTTTGACCAACTAGTTGGATTTTACTTTATTATTCCTCTCGCCCTCATGGCCTCTGAGTAAATAGGCCTCATTGACTCAGAGCCCATTCGGACTCAAGGAATAATTGTTAATTATGCAGTGGATAGTGCCATCCACACCTTTTGAACAACTGGGGCCAGGATTCTTCAGTAAATTGTTTTCATGTTCAGATCAAGGCTATTGTTTGAAAAACCTCAGTGGGATTTTTAAATTTACGCAAATACTTTATACAAAAGGATTTCTGGTAGTTGTACTCAACTGACATTATTTTATAAAATGCTCCATTGTCAAATACTTCCGCCCTCCTCCTAAAGCATACTCCTGTCATTTCCCCTGTAATTCTTCCTGGGGAGTGGGGAGTTTGATGGGAAAGGCATTCCCAAAGGTGAAGTTTTCACTAGTTTTCACAAGCAAAGAGAGTTTGAGGTTGGCAATGTGTTTAGTCAAGACCATGACTAAGGTGGCAGAGGCTGTGTATGGTTTATCGAGTTACGTGCAGTTTTAGAGTTTTTCTTGATGGAAACTACATTCATAGTTGGAATAAATCTTCTTGTTGCTGTTTCGACAGCCCTGCATGCATTCAGTTTAGTTGCAAGCTAAGTCGTTTGGTTTGAACCTCCTCTCCTGCCCTTCTTATCACTCTGGAAATTCCAGTTCAGCTTCAGACTTTCCTTAATAAAAATGGCAGCATTTGTGTTTTGCCATTTTCTTTTACGGAGACTCTTTACTTCTTAGTCTTTGAAGCTGTTTGGGTGTGAAAAATTAATTAATTGATTTCATATTTCACTAATTTATCATTAAAATACATTGACTATTTCTTGTTTTATTTCTTCATACTAGTTTGACCTGCCAGTGCCCTTTTGGAAAACAGGGCAAACACTCTGACTAGAATACACCCTGCAGGTAAAAAAAATCAAGCTGTCTTATTTAGTGTTATTAGTATATAATGTCAACACCCTTACCTTAGGCCCCGGTTCCTCGATAGATGGTTAAGTTTAACCCAGGATTAAGCCAAATTTTAAGCACAGTTTTCTCATCTTCCAAAAAATGTGCAACTCAAGCTTACAAAATGCCATTGAGCCTTTAATCCGAGATACAGTAATGATATCACAAAATGTAACTCTAAGCAATATATAGGAAAGTAAAAGAACAAAAATTGAACAAAACTTGAATCCTATAGTTTAGCGCTAATCAGCCTACCAGGAACTGGGCCCTGGGTGTTAAGATTCCTGAAGTTAGAAGAGCTTAAAAAACAGTTTTAAGTGACAAAATAGTGTTGCAAAATTATAGCTTCCATAATCCAGTTATTCATTGCAAGGAATCAGTAAAGTTCAGATGATTGTTCATACCAAATTTTATGATTTTAATAAATCTATAATATAATATGAGCATAAAAGTACTTAAACCTGGGAAATTTATGGATGGTTGGCAGAGGCTTTATATGAGGCAGATCCAGAAATTTCAGAAAAGAGTGGCTAGGACACTTGCCAGCTATATAGATCAAACTATTTAAATTTTGCCAAAAAATTCTTTTAAAATAATGCAAAATTACACAGAAAAAGAGGTGGCCATGATAATTATGGTCCACTTGGCCCACTTCAAATCACCTCAATAATATTTATATGTATCTCCAAATTGCAACAATAAAATGCTACCAGACGCTGTGTCAAAGCTGCTTTAATGTTAGTAAAACAGAAAACTACAAGTGATAGCATGATCATGCGAGAGTTGAAAATCCGGAATGGAGTGGACATTACACTTGTGATTCTCTTTTAAACAAATGGGTAATGGCTTAGCGTACTTTTGAGTCATGGCTGCAAAGCACAATTAATGAAATACAAGAGTCACCCAAAGTGATAGCTGATTGCGACTCTATAGCTTCTTAAGTGCTAAGCAATAGTCCCCCCGAGTGTAACCACAACTCAGTAGTGGATGCTGAGCCATTTACCATCTGTTTTATAATGTAACCAAAAGAGAAAAACTTTTAAATTTGCCAACAGTTTGTAGGGGAATGATGCGACTGTACAGATCATAGTTTGCAAACGCTTCTCCTTCAAAAAAATCTTTTTGCTGAATAAGTATATTTCCATCTCAATATGGAGTTCAACACTGTTTTTTATGTTACCTTGAAAAGCTTCTTAGGAGTGCTGGGGGTATAGTGTCTAATGCACATACACCTGTGCATACAGCTGAAATCTGGAGAAAAATATATTTTTTATTCCTGAAAGCTTTTTACCATTCAACTAGGATTATTGATAAATCTTTTGCATTATAATTATTAGTGTATTTGCCTGTCTGAAGGGCAGGCATCTCGCCCTTTGCCTTTACCTTCCTTCTTGATGGTGTCATTTTTTTACCGATACCACTGTTTAAAAACAACTAACTATAGCATTTTCCTTCATATTTATTTACTAAAAAAGGCCTCTGGAAAATGCAGGAAATGGCATTTCTGATCCCCTAAATTCGACAAATGTTCTGGGGGAGCATATCCCTAGATCCCCGTAGTTTGCAGTACGTTCAGAGGTCTAACCTTTCTTTCTATGGATACACCTTCAAAACCTCATGCTAGGCCCTTGCTTTCCTTCTGTAACTTTTCTCTCGGCAGGACAATAAAATTATTTGGAAACTATGAGGCAAAAATAAAATGTAAAAATGTAGTCTCATGGAAATTGAGCATGTACCAGCTTGTTAGCAATCAGCCATGACCAAAAAGTAATGTGTAATTAGCCAATCAGAGTATGCTACAGTGAAACCTGTATTAAGCAGACACCGTATTAAGCGGACACCCTCTATTAAGCGGACAGTAGCCTAAGTCCCCAAATTTATTTCCCTTATTTACTTTAAATGAAACCTTTATTAAGCGGACACCTCTATTAAGCGGACGCGGACACCTAAAAAGTACCTAAAAAGGGCCATTTCTATTGTTGCCAACCTGTATTAAACGGACACTTGTAATTAAATTCCACCACCCAACATGCCAGACACCGGAAATGCAAAAGATTGCCTCGAATTGCCACCCGTAAATTTTTCGATTTTTACATTAAAAAACGTGACTTGACGAACTTATTTGATTAGTTTCACAGTACAGGATTGTTTTCTATTTCGTTTTGTTTGTATAGAGCTTGTTTCACTCATCTGATTTCTTCAAATTTGAGTTGCAATCCATGTTTATGGTACTATGATCAATTGGTTCACTTTGATAAAGAAATTAATGCAACGTTTATCGTCATAGTCTCTGGGAGTATTATAAACGCTTCAAACGCTTCTATACTGTTCATTTGAATGGCATTTGACACCTCATATGACGTTATATATCGAAACCTGTATTAGGCGGACACCCTGTATTAAGCGGACACTACAGCATTCCCCGAGGGTGTCTGCTTAATACAGGTTTCACTGTATTCTCTTTGTTATGTTAACTTTGTTTCATTTTGCCTTGGAAGTTGGGGGGAGGGGGACTATCTGTAGAAAAATCTGGGTGGGATTGTGGGTCATGTCTTGTAAAACAGAACCTTAATCTTTTTAGACCAAGAGATGTGGTTTTCTCTACAATGTCTCAGACCTGACCTAAAGGAGAACAACCTTAAGAGCAATTGACAGACATACTCAGGCCTCAACCTATGGCCTAGCTAGTATCTTACCAATGCGCATACACACAGCCATATCACCCAGGCAGTGGCAGCCATTCACAATTGGCTCGCCTTCGTTTGGGCTCATCAGCATGAAATAGGGATCACAACCCTGCAGTGATCACTTGAGGTCATGTTAACAGGTGTCCTTCACTCTATATGCCACTTGTTCGGATAGGAACTGTCAAACTATGCCCGATTTTCTTTTTTGCAACTAACAGAATAAAATTATTGTACTGTTGCTGATGCTGTCTATCTTTTTACTAGCATGGCAACTGCAGCATCTTCACCTTTGGCCAGCTCTTTAGAAAAGACAAATGGAAACAAGCTGAGCAGGCTTCTCATTGATGGCGGAACAATGGTGCTGAGGAATATTTTCGACCATTATCACCCACCTGGCAACTTGGCTTCTGACCTCAAATCCAACTCCTCCATTCTTAAAAACCTTTTGCGTAAAAGAGTACTAAATGGGCATCAGTGGGTCAAATTGTTTCCCCCTGGTGGAGGGGTACCAGACTCCAACACCTTTGACATCACTCTTCTGTTCCTTCTACTAACCAACATTTGTGGTTTATCCCCTCCCCTGACAGGATGGCACACCAAGCCATCCCCTGGTGATAACTCTCTTGAGGCTAACCTTGCTCGTGTTAAGTTCTTCCGTAATGAGTTGTATGGTCACGTGACTTCCACTGCTTTTGATGCGGCAATTTTCTCTTCCCTGTGGCAAGAAATAAGGGCTGCTCTACTTTCTCTCGGTTTGGATCAAGCTGAAATTGACAGACTTAAGGCGGAGAGTGGTGGAGAGGAAGATTATCTTGATGCCTTATTTGAGTGGGCGGACAGTGGTGTGGAAATAAAAACAGAGCTTAAGGATATCCGTCAATCTCAAGCCAAAATCCAGGAAGTGCTGCAGCTTAAGGAAGACAGAAGAAAAGAAGACCAAGAAAATGAAGTTCTGAAAAAACTGGCAGTTGTTGACACTAAGAAAGTCATTCAAACTCACTTGGACAAGTATCAAGAGGGAACCCGCATTTCTGTCTTTGAGAAGATCGATTTGTGGCTAAACGACCGTACTTCTAATAATCGTGTCATGGTAATCAGTGGTGATGCAGGAATGGGCAAATCAGTGATTTCCGCTGTCGTTTGTCAAAGAATGCGACATGCTGGTCGGCTGACGGGAAGTCATTTTTGTCAGCACAACAAGGCGCGTCCTAGAAATCCTAAGATAATGCTTCAATCCTTAGCTTATCAGCTGAGTGAGTTTTTGCCTCCGTATAAAAGAGAACTTGTAAAAGCACTGTCAAGAAATTTGGGTGAAGATATCAACAACCTAGAGGTTGGAGAGCTCTTTGAATTGCTGTTCGAGGAGCCTTTAATAAATGTAGATGATCCGGGAAGAAGCTTGCTCATGGTGATTGATGGCCTGGATGAAAGTGAATACAAAGGCCGCAACGACCTGCTTGATGTCATGGCTAATCAGTTTAGTACACTTCCTGGTTGGGTTCGATTTTGTGTTACAACTCGACCAGAAATAAATATCGCAGACCGTCTTCAAAAGTTCAACCCTGTTCTACTGGAGCAAGATGATGAAGAAAATGTAGGAGACATCAGACTCTTTCTTGAAAGACAGCTGTGCAGCGTCATTCAATCAAGCTTTCAAGAAGTTGTTGTCGATGCACTGGTCCGAGAGGCTGCAGGGCATTTTTTATATGCTTATTTGATGGTCGATTTTATCAAGAAAAACGTTTTACTTCTTACCCCCGAGGAGTTAGGAAGAATCTTACCTTCAGGTGTATCGTCTGTTTATCAGTCCTACTTTGAACGTTTAGAGAACGAATTGAAAATTGGCGAGGACCAGTTTTTGACTTTTCTAAGTGCTCTGGCGGCTGCAAGAGAACCACTTCCTCTAGACTTTGTTTCTAAGATGTTGATTTCGGACTCGAAGTCCCCATCTAGTCATCGGAAAGTAAGAAAAGCTATCGAATCTATCTCAACACTTCTTCCTGTTCACGATGACTGCATTGTGTTCTTCCACAAATCAGTTAAGGATTGGTTGACTGACAGAACTGCCTACGGTCGCCACAACTTCTCTGTTTTTGAAAAGCAAGGTCATGTCATGCTTTCCCAGCTCTGTACTAATGAACTGAATAACGTCAAAAGAAAAGGCGTTCACGGCACTGAATTCAGTGACACTGCGAGGTACGCCCTACAGCATGGTGTTTGTCATATGCTCGAGTCGGAAGAGCTGGAAGAGAGTACAAGAAGCTTTGAAGAAATCGTTAACAACTATGTCACGGACTTGGACATTGTGTATGCAAAGCTATGTGTAAACGACACGGCTAGTTCTGAGGACATGGTCGTCACTCAGAAACAAGAAGCTTTTCAGTTATTGAGCAGTGAGAGCCAAAACGCCCTTGGCACGTTGTTGTTTCTTTTACGAAAGTACCATGAAAGACTTACGACGAATCCCACTTCTTTTTTCCAAGTGATGGTGAACGAAGGAGGAGACGATTTTGCTGGTGAAGCGACAGAACTTTTGCAGACCAAATATCATGATATACCGTACATGAAGTACGTTCACAAGGGGGCTATGGAAGAGGAAATTGAGGTTCAGGCTTTGTTTCGCTGTACCTCTCGAGTGGCTTGTTTTGATATTTCACCTCAGCAGGAGTTCATGGTGTGTGAATGTAGGGACGGGACGATTCAGCTATGGTCAGTACAGACAGGGAAGCAAATATGGAAACGTCCGGTCAAGTTCGGTAAACGTTACGTTGATGATCTTGACGCGTTCAGAGTGGTACCCGAATCATCTGTTTTGTCATGTTATCGTTCCGTTTTTTTTCACCCTACTAAGCCCATTGTTCTTCCTGGAATCCTAAGCCATGCCTACTCAATTGACGGAGCTTTCCTTCCACTGTTCCCTAATAGCAACTGCAAATTTACCGTTTGTTCAGTTAATGGGGATAGTATGATTACAGATTTCCCTAGTGATGCAAAATGCCTAGTCATGTGGAGTCTAACAAATGGCGAGGAGATCACTCGAACTGAGAGAGATGAGGTTGTATTGTCTTTTGCCTGGTCTCCAGATCGAAAGCTACTAGCAATTTCTCATCTTTCGGGACTGGTTTGTCTGGTTGATGCATTGAATTGCTTTGAGACACTTGCAGAGATCACCACTGTTTTACCATGTGGAATGATCAAGTTTGCCCTTAACCTCAAATTTCTGTTTTGTTGGTGTAAACCAGTAAAGTCTATGTGGGAGAGATACCCAAAAGGCATTCGCGTGAACGTCAATAACTTGCCTTGTGGCACTTTTTCCTTGGATGTTGTTAACGATAACGTTGACTATGAACCTTGGGATTATGAATCATCCAGCAAAGCTGGATTCTTGATGGGAGATCCTGTATCATGTTCGTTCAGGCGTTTAGAGGACTTTTTGGGACCCCATTGGGTTCTTGTAGAAGGAGCGTTTGCGTTTGTCTTGAACAGACAAAATGTATTGAGGGCATTCCCTGGAAACAACCGCATTGCCATGTTCAATCCTGGTGAAATGAAAATTGCAACAACCACGTCCTATAGAAGACTCCGTCATGTTGCTTTTGCTGTAGATGGGAAGTCCGTTTATGGTGTCACTGAAGACAAGGAAGCAGCAGTGGTATCTTTTGATGTATCAAGTGGAAAACTTACAGCAAAGATAGAGATTAGTACTTGTTGTGGTCTCCATTATCCTAAACAGCCTTTTACGACCGTAAACTATTCTGACAATGGTATTTGTCTTGTGACATTGACCAATGGTGTCCTTTTGAAACAACGTCATCGTAGGACTGCTGTTCAGCTATGGAATTTTGAGTTGTCTCAACAAGTCCGAAGTTGGCCCAGTCTATGCGAGGTTACGTATATGATGCCAGTCACGGACCAGTGTGTAGCATGTGTGGGCAGAAGGTTTGAAGTGAGCATCCTGGACACATTAAGTGGAGACATAGTGAAGACCATCTCACTTTGTCATGAGGGATACCAGTCAACATGTCCAATTATGTATAAAGAAGCAATAGAATGTAACAGTAAATTTCAGCTGTTATCCACCGCTCGTGACTCAGTTCAGCTGTCAGATGATAGAGGTAGTCTGTGGAAGAGAGTTTTTAAAGATTCTCTGTTGTACTCGTGGAATCTCCCTGGCATGTTTTCTCCAACGGAAAACTTTGTCCTGATCTCAGCAAAATCCCCTCAGTGTAAGCAAGAAGTACGCGTGCTTGATGCGTCTTCAGGGGCCACTGTCTGCACCCTTTGCACAGTCGATTACGTGACGAAGTGTGCGTTTGTCAGTGACGCGGAATGTGTAATCGACTGCCATGATAGATCAGGAAGTTCCTGTCTTCGGTTATTTAATGTTAAGACTGGAGATTTGCTTAGCGTACTTGATATGGATACGTGGCCTTCCTGTTTGGTCTCCTTCCCTCAAAAGGGTTTGATCGCCTTTGGGCTCTGGAACTCCGAACGTATGTGCGCATTTATCGAGGTAAAACTGCCGCGAGACAAAGTCAACAGGAAAGCAAAGGTGAGAAATGCGTTCGTTCTTAAGAATTATTTCGCGAAAATCAGTGAAGGTTTTTTTGTACTTTATGTATCCAACAACGTCAAACAAATTTTGGGAAAGACACTTTGCTTGTTACTCTACGAGTTTGCGGTACTTGAGCATCGTCTAGTGTTCTTTATTGGTGGCGACAGAGGCTCAGCTGTTAGACTGTATTATTTTGACAGTTTGTTTATGAATGCAGCATTAATGAATGTATGAATTTCATATGTTGGAACTGTGGGATGAAGGGACAATGCAAGGAAGACAATCGCAGTTAAAGATGCAACTTCAAAAACTCATTGATAATTCATAAAGAAAAACCAAAAGAAATGAGTGTCTTTAATGAGTTTAATGAGTGTCTTTATACCTGATAAAGACACGGCTAAACTGTGCGTCCAATCTCTTAGACCAATAACCCCAAATCTTAATATTATTGCAAGAATGAGTTTATCTATATCAGAGATTTTGAAGCCGTTCAAAAAACTCGCAGGAACGTTTTGTGTCTCATTGTTGTCTTTTCTTTGTTTTGTTTTAAATCTTACAGGCCTTGAGTGTTCCACAATGATGGATCTGAAGCTTGATCTGCATCTTCCAAAGCCAAGAAACGGTGTGAACAATGCGGCGTGAAACTTATACAATGGAAACAATTTACGTGTAGGGTTGTCTGTTGGCGTCATTAAATCACTCTTAGCAGGTGGCATAGAAAAGCCCTGGAACTAATGCACTTTATCATAATCAATTGCTTAAGATTTGAGGCGTTGCTAGTTGTAAGATTAGTTTTAGTTAAGCGTTCTAAGGCTAGGTTTTAACAAGTGAAACAGAGGACCATTAAGGAGTAAACTACACTGTCGCACGAGATAGCGTAAGGTTATATTTGAATAGTTCTCTGTGAGTATCGGACTTGTATAAGCTAGTAAAACAAAACATCCACCTACCTTATGTTCTGTATCATAAACAGTAGGTCAAGGTTTATATTTCCTGATTTTTGAAAACTGGATTTTTTTGTCTAAGACTTAGTAATAACCTCTTAGAAACACCACCGACAGAACTTGTGTTCAGCATCACAATCAAATAGGTTAAACCTCCCTTAAACAACCACCTACAAAGCGAAGAGTTAGTGGTCGCTTACGGGAGTCGAACCACTGAGGGTCTTTTTTGGTGAGAGGTTCGAAAACATCTGCTTCTTACAAGGCCATACACACGGTCTTTTAGCCCGTCACGAAATCCTCCTTCGTCGGAGGGAACGCGTGAAGAAGCCGAAAGCAGTCAAGCCTTTTATTTCGCGCACGGATTTCTGGGACAGTACATTCTCCACTCCCTTTCGGAAATATGTGCTGACGATGCCGATGCAAGTTTTCTTGGTTTAAACCCTGGGAGTTCTACGTTTCGGGATAAAACACCAACTTTTACTTGGCAGGAAGGTTAGTTGCATCTTTTTATCGAAGTAATTGCGTATTTTGCGTTTTGGATGGGTATAGCCACCTCATGATTTTACTTTAGCTCACTTCAGCTTTGCGTGGTACATTTTCGAAGCGTATTTAACATTTTCTCTCCATCGTGTACTCCATAATCCTTTGTCTTTTATCGTACTGGGTATGGATCAGCGTTGATCTGATACAATTTTAACGATCGCTTTTCTCCTTAGAAAAGAACCCGGCCTCTGAGGCCTAATGATCAACGGTGAAAAAACTGAGTTGATATTAATAGGAACTAGACAACAATTACGTAAGATCAATGATGTATGTTATATCTCTGTGGGTGATTATGATATTTATCGTAGTTCCTGTGTTAGAAATCTAGGTGCTTGGTTTGATAATAAGTTGTCAATGTCAACGCATGTTACTAAAATCTGTGATGCCGCGTTTCAGTTATCACCTACATAATATTAGAAGGATTGAGAAGTATTTATCTCGCGATTCGTTACTAACGCTTATTCATGCTTTTATCATTAGTCGTTTAGACTATTGTAATGGACTTCTGTATGGCCTTCCTAACTCGCAAATAGTTAAATTGCAACGTGTGCAGAATGCTGCAGCTAGACTCGTACTGAGCTTAAATAAGTACTCGCATATTTCTCCCGCGCTTTATCAACTTCACTGGTTACCAGTACAACATCGTGTTCATTTTAAGATCTTTATTTTAGCATTTAAAGCTATTCATGGATTGGCGCCTAAGTATATCATAGAACCAATTAACATTAAGCCTAGGTCTATATATAATCTTAGATCAAATCAAAGCTTATTGGTAGACCCTCCTAAAGGGAAAATGCTTGTCACGTTAGGTGACAAATCTTTCTCTGCTGCTACCCCATATTTATGGAATAGTTTGCCGGCTGAATTACGTGATACAATAATCCATTCATAAAATGAATAATCCAATAGTCAAATTGGACCTCGATTCAACAATTAAATGTTGATTTGGTTTATGAACAAAATCTACGTGTTCTTTATTCTTGTCTGTTGCGTTCAATCGTATTTGCTTCCCTTTTCCTTCCGTTTACGATTGCGTTTTTTATTGCCTTTAATCAAAATAACAGCTAGAATAGACAGACCGCAAACGCAAAGAAACTGACAAAGGCCGAGGATCGAAATCCACCAATCACCGCACATACACTGACCACAGTTTGACCATTATGTGACTGATTACTGTCAGCAAAATGGCGTACATGTAACAGTTTGTTTGGGTTTGAACTTCAGAACTCGCCCGCACTACTGAATCAACAAACGAAATCATTTTCCCATTAATGAATTCATTAGTTCGTTAGCGACAGGAACGCTTGACCTGCTTTGACTGTATTATACATTGTTAATATTCATGTATATGTAATTAGTTTACAAATTTGAATTTTATTGTAGTTTTTTTAAGTTGTTAAGCGCTGTTGATCAGTGAATGTAAATAGCGCTCTAGAAGTTATTAAATTATTATTATTATTATTATTATTATTACTTGAAGACTCTGAAAGACTACGGGTTATAAAGAGTCAGTAACTGTAGTTCAAGAGACCCGGAACGTGTAAGGTTTCTGCGCTTCTTTATTAATTCCCAATCTATTCATATTATCTGTTAATATTCTTGATTTTCTACTTATAGCTGTCAGCGATAAGTAGAATTATGTCCCTTGAATTAATGAAATAGGCACTCTGTTCTCTTTATTTTCGTCTGGATTACAAGGCAGTCATGCATGTTAGTGGTTAACACAATACAATGGTTTTTTGCAGAATTTGCATGAAAATAGAGTCGTGGCTGCCTTGGCGTCACTTTCAATCCGAGCGTACTCGATCACGAAAACAGGAACTCCTGGGGGATTGTATATGTGCCAAAATTTGACTACTTCCTCTAAAAAATTATTTTAACATTTGTCAGTTATTGGCGTTTCCATCATGTCAATTGAACGTGTAATAAAACTTCAAAAGTAAACAATGATAACAATGTATAACAATAATAATAGTAATAATAATAATAATAATAAATTAGTAGATACATACATGCGCCATAAGCTGTTCATGCAGCTAGAAATTACGGGTAGTAAGCCTATACTGATGCCTTTTGGCATCTTCCTCTGTGGCTGAGGTTAAATGCTTCCAACTTTCCCCTAGTTTTTGACATGATTCTACCCTCTCTGGGGTGGAAACCAAATGAAAATTTGGCCTAATAAAAATAGTCATCCAATCACTGTCGATAATGTGATGCTTCTGTTATACATGTACATGTACATGAGGCTTCTTAGGGGAGCAGGGGGTATGTATGTCCCTGGTCAAATTTCAAATAGGGTCATTTTGTGTTTTGAGGAGTAGGACATGTCCCTGTTGTTACACTGTATTTAACCCATCTTTATGTCTGCACACTCATTTGTCGTCGTTCAAGGCCATGTCGCATATCGGAATTTTACCTTAACAGGGTCTTATACAAGTGTCATAGAGAACTAAGGATTTCATTTGCATTCCAGTGCTTGTTTTGTGGTGACCTTGCCCTACTTCTTTCATTCACTAATGAGCACAATTTTCTCAGCATATATTAGAAACAACACAGTAGTTGTTATCATGTCGTGAGATTGCTAATTCACCGAGGGGATGGTAGTTGTAATGTCAGAAATGTGGTATTGGCAGTTGCTATTATACTGAGTGGTGTGTTTATAATAGCCGTATATGTATTCTTCCTTAAAGTATTTTCCCTATTTCAGGGGGAGGCTACACCTACATGTAGGCTCAATTGGTAAATGAGGGAGGGTGAGAGGGTAGGTGTTGGTATCAATGGTAAGCATTCATTGTGGATATACAAGTTCAAACAATCAAGCAAGTGGTGGTGGTTCTCGCTAAGGAGGGAGGGAGGAGAGTCATTTGTAGTTTTATGGAGGGTGAGTGGATCATACTAGCAGTGGTAAATGAGAGGAGAGAGGGGTGGTGGAAGTGAAAGTGTTAGTAGGGGGAAGGAGGGGGAGTTGTAGGGCATGGGAGAGGGAAGAAATAGTGGAAGTAGAGAGATGAGGGAGTGCAGAGGGAGTGGCGTGAAATGGGACTTCAGAGCGTGTAAATAAACTTGAACATTTTGCCCAGGTTTCTGTTTATGCATGGTAAAAAAAAACTTTCATTTTGTTTTGTGTGGTATCATGGGAAGCTGTTCTTTTTTCTTTACATTATTGTTCCTTTTGCTAATATTATTTAATGAAAATGGATGTGGATGGACAAACTTAAACTTAATGATGATAAGACAGAATTTATGATAATTGGAACAACAACTTAAAAAGGTTAGTGTCGCAGAATTGTCTGTTGGTGACATCAGCGTTGCTCCTGGTAGTACTGCACGAAATCTTGGAGTTCTGTTTGATCGAAATCTGAAGTTTGATGCTCAAGTTACAAAAACATGTTGCGCAGGTTACTGCTATCTGCACAATATACCAAAGATCAGGAAATACTTAACGTTGGATTCAACCAGATGTTTTGTTTGGTTCATGCACTGGTAATGTGGCGCGTAGATTACTGTAATAGTCTACTGTACGGTCTCCCAAGAAATAATGTCAATAAGCTACAGCGTCTTCAGAATGTGGCTGCCAGGTTAAAGGCTGGTTTTCACTAGCGACGGAGTCGGAGTCATAATCAGAAGTCAGTAGAGCTTATGATCTAGTGAAAACAGCGTGCCGATTCCGCTTACGACTCCGTCGCTTACGTTCCGCTTATGATCTAGTGAAAACCAGATTGTCGGAGTGGGAAGCAGAAGCAGAAGAACCAAACCAATCACAAAGCGTGGGAACGTGCATTGTGATTGGTTTATCCTTCCGCTTCTGCTTCCTACTCCGACAATCTGGTTTTCACTAGATCATAAGCGGAACGTAAGTGACGGAGTCGTAAGCGGAGTCGGAAGAAATGGAAACGTTCTGATTCTTCTGACTCCGATTCCGTCGCGGTTATGACTCCGCTTACGACTCCGATTTTTGATTTTCACTAGATCAGAAGCGCTCTTACGACTCCGACTCCGACTCCGACTCCGACTTCGACTCCGACTCCGACTCGGTCGCTAGTGAAAACCAGCCTTAATAACAAATACTCCGTGGTTTTGTCACATCAGACCTGTACTGTGTCAGTTGCAGCAACAGGTATCAGGATTAAATTCAAGGTGATACTTATAACATTTAAAGCAATAGATGGACTGGTTCCATATTACATACAAAGTTTAATCAAAGTCAAGGAGAAGTCCTCTTACAACCTTAGGTCAAATGATGAACTGGCTCCACCGACGCTCAAGTCTAAAAAGACCTTAGGCGACAGGGCTTTCCAAGTGACTGCGCCGACTCTATGGAACAAACTTCCAAGTGTATTAAGGATGAAAACAAGCTTGAAGCCTTTTAAAGCCAAACTAAAAACTTTACTTTTTAAAGAAGCCTATGATTTATAGTTTTACGACTCATGAGTGACTTGTCGATTAACATTTTCAAAATGATTTCAATTACTTAGTTTCAATACATTGTTTTAATCGAATCTTATAATTGCCTTTTTAATTGTATATATAGAGAGATTTATACTAAATTTTTAGTGTTTATTTATTTATTATTTATTTATTTATATTCTATTTTATTATATTTTTTGTTAGTGCGCATTAGATCGTATATTTGAATGCTATTTTGCGCCTAATAAGTAATAAATTATTAAAAATTATTATATGAAATATAATAGGTCCTGCAATTTGCAATGAGCCATGCTACAGTGTGTGAGTAAAGGTGTCTCAGGGAAATTACAACTGCATAATATATCCCCGCCAAAATTTTACTTATTAAGCTTCTTAAATTCTAATGAACATTTTTCGTTCTTTTTCAGTGTGTACATGATTGGTGCTTGTAGAAATGTCCTCCAAGTTTTAAACTAGGGACAGTAACTACTTCTCAGGTACCGTTGACTGTTATACTGTCAATGACCCCTTTACTGTTGTATTTTAACTTGGATCTAAAGATTTTTGTTAGAAGTGTTTTTTTACTTAGATATTTTTTCTCCCCAATTGAGCTTACAAGCCAACCAGGAGCAGAGCTTGTCATTTAGTCATTTTGTTGCAAACTTGTGAAGGATGAACATGAAAGACCAAATATATTGATATCACATATAGATTTTATTTTCTTTTAACATTTACGTGTTGTCACGCGCTTTTGATCATATTTGCATGGAAAAGGGGCGTTATAAATTTTTAATTATTATTAATTATTATTAGATTTGCATGATGATGAAAGTGTGCACTGTAATAGGCCTTTTTCAAAACTACCTTAATAGTCAAAGTACTCTTTGTTTCCCCACAAACTTTTGCATAAGGATTGTTTTTTAATTTATTTTGGGACTTACGATCATCCTTACACTCAAAATGCATGCATGCTCAAGTTAAATTGTGGCGGGAAAACAAAGAGTATTGTGAGTTTTTGTTTTTTATTATTCAATAGCAGTTCAACTTAAACTGTTAAATACATGTATGTGATCAGATCCTCTGAATATGTTAATAACCTTGATGAGACACTTAACTACTCAATATTTTAGGTTCTTCTTTTATAAGAAAAAGATAACTGTGATTTAAAGTTAATTTGTTTTTTTTGTGTGTGTGTTTGTTTTTACGCAGATTTAAAAGGTGGTGGATATTTCCTTTTCTGGCTTTTATGGCGACTGCAACACCGTCACCACTCGCCAGCTCTTTTGAGAAGACAAATGGGAACAAGCTATGCAGGCTTCTCATCGATGGCGGAACAACAGTGCTGAGGAATATTTTTGATTACTATCACCCTCCTGCCAACTTGGCTGCTAATCTTAGTTCCAAACATATTCATTCCATTCTTACTAAACTTAGACATAGAAACATTCTGAATGGTAGTCAATGGGACAAACTGTTTCCACCACCAGGTGGAAGGACACCAAACTCTACTAACTTTGATATCACTCTTCTGTTCCTCTTGCTGACGAACATTTGCGGACTATCCCCTCCCCCCTCGGGCTCTTGGCACAAAATGCCTCCCGCGAGTGACACCTCTAGAGAGGCTAACCTTGCTCGCATGAAATACTATCGAAACGTGCTCTATGGTCACGTGACAACAACTGGCATTCAAACACCAGTGTTCGATGTTAAATGGCAGGAAGTTAGTTCCGTTCTTGTTTCGCTTGGGTTGAGTCAGTCTGAAGTGGACAGATTAAAGCGAGAGCCCTGTGGGGAGGACTATATCAGCTCTGTTACTGAATGGGTGAAAAATGATGAGGAGATCCAATTCCAGCTGAAAGATCTACTTACAAAACAACAACAAGTGCTCCAAACCCAACTGGAAGATCACAGAACTCTTCAAGATACACACCAAACGGTTGGCAGAGTGGAACACACCCTTCAAGATACACACCAGACGGTTGACAATTTACAAAAGATGCAAACAGAGGCAGTAAAATTACAACAAAAGGACCACAGAATTCTTCAGGACACGCGCCAAGCAGTTCAAGGTGTACCGCGGTTAGTACAAGATGCAAAAGAGATATTAGGGAAAATTCGGAGAACCCAACAAGAATCGCAGCAGCAGATAGAGTATGAGGCTGCAAACACTGAAGAAAGAAGCGATAAAGCTGCAGAGCGTGAAGCTCTGAGAAAATTAGCAAAAGTTAATACCGAGAGGGTCATCCAGAATCACTCTGGGAAATACCAGGAGGGAACGCGCTTGCACATCTTTGAGAAGATCAAGTTGTGGCTAGACGACCTTTCATCTGAAAATCGTGTGATAGTAATCAGTGGAGATGCGGGAATTGGCAAATCAGTGATTTCCGCTGTCGTTTGTCAAAGAATGCAACGTGCTGGTCGACTGTCGGGAAGTCATTTTTGTCAGCACAACAAGGCGCGTCAAAGAAATCCTAAGATAATGCTTCAATCGTTAGCTTATCAGCTGAGTGAGCTTTTGCCACAGTATAAAAGAGAACTTGTAAAAGCACTGTCAGGAAACTTGGGTGAAGACATCAATAACCTAGAGGTTGGAGAGCTCTTTGAATTGCTGTTCGAGAAGCCTTTAATAAATGTAGATGATCCGGGAAGAAGCTTGCTCATGGTGATTGACGGCCTGGATGAAAGTGAATACAAAGGACGCAATGAGCTGCTTGATGTCATGGCTAATCACTTTAGGACACTTCCTGGTTGGGTTCGATTTTGTGTTACTACTCGACCGGAAATAAATATCGCAGACCGTCTTAAAAAGTTCAACCCTGTTCTACTGGAGCAAGATGATGAAGAAAATGTACAAGACATCAGACTCTTCCTTGAAAAGCAGTTGAGCAGCGTTATTCAAGCGGGCTGTAAAGAGGTCATTATCGATGCACTGGTCCGAAAGGCTGCAGGGCATTTTTTATATGCTTATTTGATGGTCGATTTTATCATGGAAAACGTTTCACTTCTCACCCCCAAGGAGTTAGGAAGAACCTTTCCTTCAGGTGTATCGTCTGTTTATCATTCCTACTTTGAACGTTTAGAGAAAGAATTGAAAATTAGTGAGGACCAGTTTTTGACTTTTCTAAGTGCTCTGGCGGCTGCAAGAGAACCACTTCCTCTAGACTTTGTTTCTAAGATGATGCTTTCGGACTCGAAGTCCCCATCTGGTCCTCGGAATGTAACAAAAGCTATCAACTCTATCTCAACCCTTCTACCTGTTCATGATGACTGCATTGTGTTCTTCCACAAATCAGTTAAGGACTGGTTGACAGACAGAACTGCCTACGGGCGACACAACTTCTCTGTGGATGAAAAGCAAGGTCATGTCATGCTTTCTGAGCTCTGTACTAATGAACTGAATAACGTGAAAAGAAGAGGCGTTCACGGCACAGAATTCAGTGGCACTGCAAGGTACGCCCTACAGCATGGTGTTTATCATATGCTCGAGTCTGGACACCTGGAACAGAGTACAAGAAGCTTTAAAGAAATCGTTACCAACTATGTTACCGATTTAAACATTGTGTATGCAAAGCTTTGTGTAAACAACACGGCTAGTTCTGAGGACATTATCCTCACTCAGAAACAAGTAGCTTTTCAGGCATTGAGTAGTGAGAGGCAAAAAGCCCTTGGCACGTTGTTGTCTCTCTTACGAAAGAACCATGGGAGACTTTCGACGCATCCTTGTACAATATTTCAAGTGATGGTGAACGAGGGAGGGGACGTTTTTGCTGGTGAAGCGACAAAAGTTTTACAGAGTCGTAAAATACCATACATGGAGTACCTTCATAAGGAAGCTGTGAAGGAGTCAAATAAGACCCAGGCTGAGTTTCCCTGTAACTCCATGGTTGCTTGTTTTGATGTTTCCCCTACGCAGGAGTTCATGGTTTGCGAATGTATTGATGGAATGATTTACCTTTGGTCACTCGAAACGGGTGAGCAAAGGTGGGTACGTCCGGTTGAGGTCAAGAAATGCTACTTGGACTCTAATTCCCCCTTAAGAGTGGTACCAAACTCAAATGTATACTCCTGTTATCGCTCTGTTGTTTTTCACCCTACTGAGCCCATGGTTTTTCCTGGAATCCTTAGCCATGTTTACTCGTTTGAAGGAAACCTCCAACCTCTGTTTCCTAGAAGCAACTGCAGATTTTCTGTTTGTTCAGTTCATGGGGACGAGAGCAAAATTATCACCGATTTCCCTGGGGATGCTAAATGCCTTGTCATGTGGAATCTAAAAAATGGTGAAGAGATCACTCGAACCATCAGAAATGAAGATGTTTTGTCTTTTGCTTGGTCTCCAGATGGAACGCTTCTGGCAATTTCCCATTTTTCCGGACTGGTATGTTTGGTTGACGCATTGAACTGCTTAGAGACCACTCTCGCAGAAGTCGCCACCAATCAACCTTGTGGAATGATAAGGTTTACCCCTGACATTCAATTCCTTTTTTGTTTGTCTCGGCCTATGCTGCCAAGTAAAGACAAACGCAACGAGTTGCGAACCTTAAGTTTTCGCTTAAACGTCGTTACGTTGCCTTGTGGTACCTTTTCCTTGAACGTTTTAGACAATGATTTTGGCATGGATCCATGGAATTACGAATCATCCAGCAACGGGGGATTCTTAATGGGAGATCCTATGTTGTGCAACATTTCCTCGAGCCGTTTATTGTTTGCGTTTGTATTAAACGAACAAAGTTTATTGACGGTATTTCCTAGCAACAGGAACATTAAAATGCTTAAAGGTTATTTTCTTAAACATGGAAATTATTTGTGGGAAACTTCGCATTGTTCTTCTTTCTCTTCTAGTATCTGTCGCATTGCCTTCGCTTTAGATGGAAAGACCATTTATTGTACCACTGAAGGGGATAAGTCTGTACAAGTGGTATGTTTGGATGTGTCGAGTGGAGATCGTAAAGCAAAGAAAGTGATAAGGACAGTTGATGTTTTACTTGTACCTCTGTCAGAGGGTGTCCTTTTGAAACAACGTGAACCGGGGGCGTATGTTCAGCTATGGAATTTTCAGTTGTCACAACAGATCCGAAGTTGGCCTAATTTAAACGAGGTTAGGGATATAGTGCCACTTTCAGACCAATGTGTAGCGTGTGTGGGGAGAGACTTTGAAGTAAGCATCCTGGACACATCAAATGGAAACATAGTGAAGACCATCCCACTTTGTCATGTGGGTTTCCAGTCAAAACATCTTTCGTGGTATAAAAAGGCCATAGTATGCAACAGTAAATATCAGCTGCTATCCACCGCTTCAGACTCAATTCAGCTGTCAGATGGCAAAAATGAAATATGGAAGAGAAATCTGAAATGTCCACTTTTTTTCGGTTGCTGGAGGCTACTTGGGATGTTTTCTCCAACAGAGGAGTTTGTCCTTGTCTCATCCACAAACTCTCCGTCCAAGCAAGAAGTACTTGTGCTTCAAGCATCCTCAGGAAAACATCTCCGGACGTTATGCACCGTTGACAGTATTCTTGGCTGTGCCTTTGTAAGTAAGACGGAATGTGTTATCCTCTGCATGAATACTTCAGGGAGTTATTGTCTTCCGTTGTTCAATGTTAGCACTGGGGATTTCCTAACTGTACTTGATATAGATTTTGTACCGTCCCGGTGTCTGGCTTCCTGTTCACAAAAGGGTTTGATCGCTATTGGCCTTGAGAACTCCAAATGTATTTGCGCAGTTATCGAAGTAAAACAGCTGCGAGACAAAGTAAACCAGGAAGCAAAAGGTGAGCAATGCGTTTTTTCCTTATCGTTAGTCAAAGAATTGCTAAGTGTAAATACGTAGGGTCGACAGATCACACCTACATTAAAGTGGCAATATTGGTTCCCAAAAAAGGAACTTGTGTGAAGGATAGAGCAGTTTGTGGATATTAGTGGGGTCGAACCCCTATTAAGCAGCCACTCTCTTTAGCGGCCTGTTACAAGATTCCCTGCTAACAAAGCTGTCAGTAAATCACTGTAAAAAGTACCTTTATTAAGCGGCCACTTGTTCCTTCCCCGAGGCTGGCCGCTGGCCGCTTAACACTTCTAGTCCCAAGGGTGACCAACCTCAATTTTCCCCTAACAATATCAATACATCATCATAAGAAAACGTTATGAGAATTTATGAAATGATCACCTAAGAGAAAATGCTTTGATCTTGAAACACATTCTCTCAACTAATTCTTTAAGGAAATTTATTGAAATCAGTCTGGAGAATTTGTATGTCGATATTGGGGCTTATAATACAGGGTTAACAGAGATTCGACTGTATTTCCTTCTCCATTAAGCGAGATATCTCAGCTTCAGAAATCTTTGTGAATCTTTAAAAACTTTGCCAGTAGCTTTATTCTCAGTTTTCAAATATTCTTGCAGATTTGGTAGATAACATAGATCTTGTTTAATTAACAGAGATGTAATAATTGTTCCGTCTTACTTTGTTATCTGGGACCACTAATAAATTTAGTGGGATTTCAGATCCTTACATAAGCAGCTACTTTCTGATTGCATGCGTAAATTAAGTATTGTCTATTGCTTTTGGTTTTTGCATTCAGTTATCCCTTTCCATAGTATCCAGGAAATTTTCACTGAAGCAATCACAAATAAGTGGCCTTTATAGTTTTGATAGTATTATTTGCATACATCAACTGAGAAACTGATTCATCGTATTTTAATGTTTTGCAGTTTCCGAAAGCTCAACACTTTGAGACAAAAGTTGTGCCACAGTGCGTCGACCTGGCAACGAATTGTGAGTGCAAGGTTCTCTGTTCTCTCCCATTCATGCAACTGTGATTGATTGATCATTTTACTTATTTCTTTGTGACTGGGGAGCCCAGGCTTAATAAGCCTTCTGGTTTCTTCTGGGCTCCCTTGCCAACTAACAATTCTTATGTGTATTTTGCATTGTAATTTACTTTGGCTAAATAAAACTGAACTGAACTGAAATTGTAAAACGTTTTAGTAAATTAAGTGGAGTTTCGTTGCAAAAGAATTGCTGCTGAGGAACCGTTATGTGCTTACCAATGATCAGGAATCAGCGTGTAACCAGAACATTATTTTAATAGCAAACGGGTAGGCATATAACCAGGATTATAATACGGGATTTTTACATCGGAAAGACTCTAGTGGCAGCTGACTCAGTTAAATTGAACTGAACAGAACTGTTACTGCTAACAGTCTCTCACAATTATGGTAGATGTACTTGATATTCTTTTGTACTTTTAGAATGTATCTTTTAACTACGAATTTTTATATACCTCTGTCTATTCTATTCAGAACCGTTTTATTTTTTATATTTTTTTAGTTGTGGATCTACCAGTACTTGTGCCTAGTAAGTAGAACTCAATAAGTTTGTTTCTATTTTTTTTTATTGATGGTTGTGGTAGTGTTTTTCGTCTTACTTTATTGCAAAATGGTTGTTGATGTTATAACACGTACTTATTAATCTTGCAGTTTGGATCCTAAACATTTATGATGGGTGTACGTTCAGTATCCAGGAATGGTACGTGAGCGGCCAGTCTTTTATTGACACATTGACAGGAGGTGGATTGAACAACACGCTGTAAAAAAAAGCCCTTAAAAATGGAAAAGCTTCGAAAAGTACGCCATCAACAGTATGTTTAGCCTTTTAATCAAATATTCATCTTTTAGCAACGTTTTAACATCGTTTAAGGATTTACAGTTATTATTAGGGACCTTTAGCATCAGGTTTTTCGTGGGAAACGGCAAACCGCAAACCGCAAAATGTCACGTGACCACGGCCTTGCGGTCACGTTTGCAGTTTGCAGTTCACGTTTGAACCGCAGGAAGGGCTTCCAGCGGTAAGTGATTTACAGCAAGGTTTTTTGCCACCAAAAATTGTACAGCCTCGCGTTTAAAGGTATGAACTAGCTTTTTGTATCCGTTTGCGATGTGTTTGTTGGATTTTTGATCTCGAATCAATGAATTATTGCTGAATTTTGGGCGATTAAAGTGATGCACCTCGACTTGATGAAAACAACATGGCGGCCCTAAACAATGAACGCGTAGTTCAAATCAATTTTATATTCCTTTCTGCCGTACGAACAAAGGAAAGTATTCTGTTCCAATCCAGAGTTAAATTTTTTTTTCTATCTTGTTTCTGAATTCATAACTTAACTCAGTCTCTGTTTGGTTCCTATTTTTAACGTATTACTCCGCTTATTATTTTATTTTGCTTATCTCTTTTAGACTGGGGAGCCCAGGCTTCATAAAGCCGTCTGGTTTCTTCTGGGCTCCCTTCCAACGTTACAATTCCTATATGTATTCTTTTATTGTATTGTATTTTGGCTAAATAAAAATGAACTGAACTGAACTGAACTGAACGCCTTGCTAAAGTTTGAAATCTCAGCAACGCGAAACTGCAAACGCGTAACTGCGGTTTGCGGGCTGCGGTTTGCGGTTTACCTGATGCTAAAGGTCTCTATTAGCAAGTAAACCACAAAACCTCTAGAACTGATACAGAGTATCGTAAGCAATAGCTTAAGGCTTACATTTGGAGAGGTTCTATTAACATTGGGTGAATTAAAATTTGCAAAGCAAACTTACAGAAAACCTGTACAGTATCATAATCACAACAGATTAAGGAATATTTTTAAGAATTTCCTTTTGGTGCTGTTAAATGACTATGTTAGCGATTAAAACAGAGTAGTGTTAAAGAACTATGTAGGTTCATTTTGTAAGTTTGTGATCAGTTTATTGTAAAGTTTATGGTTGAAATATAGTTTTTTGTTAACATCATTTTGACTGAAGTAACAGCTTCTCGTTTTTACATGAAGAAGCTTCTTTTTAGATTTGACATTTTCTTAGTTGCTAGTAAAACGGAGAACCTGAAGTTAATGTTCTAATCCGAGTTTCGAAAGCAAGGTTCAAGGTATATTTTAGAAGAGGAGGATTCTAGGCCTTAGTATTAGCAACTCAAGTATACAAGACAGAACAGCACTATAACATGTGGTCAGTACATATAATCATTTTTATATTTTATTTAGCGCAAAAATCATAAGAACTGATTTAGGATCATTATCGATAGCTTACCGTTTGTATTTGAAGATTTTTCTGTTAGTTCAAGGCTTAGTATTAGTAAGTAGGACAGAAAAACAGAACTTAATGTTCAGTTTCATAAGAAATAGCTTTACTTTTATATTTAAAGGACCGTTGACTAAACCTGGATCGGACCGGGTCGGTTAAACCCCTTTAACACTATTTCTAACCGTACATCATGCATGTCTTTTCTTGAGTTATAAGCAATAGCTTTAGTTAATTTGTATTTGAAGAGTTTAGATTTAGTACAAAAATCGTAAGAACTGATTCAGCATCGTTAGCAGGCTTAGTATGGGCATTGAATACAGAGGAACAACAGAACTAGTGTTCAGTTTTATTGGCAATAGCTTCAGGTTTAAATTTAAACGACCGCTGACAAAATCTGGATTGGACCGGACTCAGGATCAACCTTTGTCACTCTATCCCTAACCTTTTGTTATTTAGTGAGTTACTGTGGTTTATTCAATTCCGGCGGTCCGATCCGAGGGTTGTTGACGCCTTACTTACGTTTTTATATGAAATATCTTCTAGAATTAGCAAGTCAAACAGGAAACCTAAAGAAATGATGTTCAGTATCATCATGACCTGTAGCTTAAGGTTGATAACTGAAGACTAGAGTTTTTTGTTGTTATTACATTAAATGATTTAGTTTAGCGAGTTAAAAGAAACACCCAAGAACTTACTTTTAGTATCATAAGCAATAGCTTAAGTTTCATATTTCAAGAGTTCTTTATTCTTATTGGTGTCATTTAATGGCTTAGATCGAATTAGCACTCTTACCTTTTATCATCATGACCTGTAACTTAAGGTTGTTAATTGCAGATTTCTTTGGTTGGTAATGATTAGTTTAGCAAATGAAAAGGAGAACCTAAGAACTTACATTCAGTATCGTAAGTAATAGTTTAAGTTTTGTATTTGAAGAGTTCTTTACTTTTATTGGTGTCATAAAATGGCTTAAAATAAGCACTCCAAGTGTATTAACATGAGCTGTCGCTTAAGGTTGGTAATTGCAGTTTTTTGTGTCGGTATTATATGACTTAATTTAGTTAGTGAGTAGAAATACCCTAAAACTTACGTGTAGTGTCATGAGCAATAGCTTAAGTGTTACGTTTGAAAAGTTTTTTATTGGTGTGTTTAAATGGCTTAGAACTAGCACTTAAGAAGTGATGTTCAGGATCAGGCGTCATGATTGACCAGTAGCTGAAAGGTGATAGTTGTAGAGCTTTTCGTTGGTATCAAAGTAAATGACTTTGAAAACCTAAGAACGTACTTTTAGTATCATAAGCAAAAGTTCTATATTTTTAGTGGTGTCATTAAATGGCTTAGATCGAATTAGCACTCCAAGTGTATCATCTTGACCTGTATAGCTAAGGTTGATAATTGTAGAGTTTTTTGTCGGTATTTTATGACTGTAGTTTAGCAAGGGAAAAGGAAAACCCAAGAGATTACATCCAGTATCGTGAGCAATAGCTTAAGTCATATATATATTTTTTATTTCAGTCATTAAATGGCTTAGAACTAGCAATTAAGTAAAACAGAACCTTAAGAAGTGATGTTAAGTATCCGGCATCATGACCAGTAACTGAAGGACGATAGTTGTAGAGTTTTTTGTCAGTATTATTAAATAAATTAGTCAGCAAGTGAACGGAAAAATCTTAGAACAGGGGCGTAGCTGTCTTAAAAGCCATTAAGCCCAGGTTAAAATTACCTCATATAAGGGAAGGTAGGTTTTTTATTGGGGGGAGGGCTGGGTCGTAGAGGCAACTCTTCGACCCTTCCCAGACTATGACAAGCTTCCTGATCCCCATTTCT